TAATAGCTTCTAGTTACCTTCTAGTTACTAGCCTAATATATAGCCTCGGCACTAAACTAGTAGCGGGCGGCTATTGCGTTAAAAGTGCGGTTAGCGGCGAAGTAGTAGCGGTAGACTAGAGTACGTGCCTCGTCGGGGGTGCTTATAAAGTCGAAGGGTTTAACTAGGCGTACGATAATTGCTTAATAGCTAGCTACGAAGGGTTTAGCTAAGCGTACGATAATAGCTTAATAGCTAGCTAGGCTAGGCGTACGATGATTGCTTAATAGCTAGCTAGGCTAGGCGTACGATAATTGCTTAATAGCTAGCTAGGCTAGGCGTACGATAATTACTTGATAGCTAGCTAGGCCAGATATACGATAATTGCTTAATAGCTAGCTACGAAGGGTTTAGCTAGGCGTACGATAATAGCTTAATAGCTAGCTAGGCTAGGCGTACGATAATTGCTTAATAGCTAGCTAGGCTAGGCGTATAATGCCTCTAGTCGCTAGCAATTCTAGCCTTAGGCATTCGACTAGCAGTCGGCAGCTATTGCGTTAAAAGTGCGATAATGTATAGCCGTTATTGTTGCCTTACTATTGTAGCTGAATAGCGCAATCCTATTAGTAGAGGCAAACCTCACCTGCGATACGCTAATATAGACCTATGCTTCCTAGTTTAACTTCTTCTTCTTCTTCTTCTTCTATATACACTAACATACTAACACCCCTAGCAACATACTAGCTATCGGCGTATACAACAGTGTCGATACCTCTTTGTCGTATATAGGTAGCTCTATAGCGATTAACACTATCTCCTAACTAGTCCTACGGCTTACTACCGATAGAACCGCTTAAGTTAGTTAAGGTTCCTCGATCGGTAGAGTTTGTTCAGTCCTTCTTTTCTTTTAAGGTCTCCGATAGGCTTTGCCGACGTAAGACGTTGCGAAGGCGACTCTCCTAGCGAGTAGGTTGTTTTCTATAGCTTTAGCGGGCGTCGACTATGTATTTAACCGAAAGAGCATAGTTTTTATTAGAACATCGCAGTCTTAGTGCAAACTGCAGAGGTCTTAGATAGATTAGCGGAGGTAAAAACTCTTTAGTAAGGTATACCTATAATACGGCTAACGGTCTAACTCGGTAAAAACTCTTTAGTAAGGTATACCTTAAGTAGCGGCTCGATAGCGACTCTCCTACTAAGTAGGTTAATAGACTAAGTAGGTTAATAGGTTCGTAGTATTGCTATAGGTCTAACTCGGTAAAAACTCTTTAGTAAGGTACACCTTAAGTAGCGGCTATAGGCTTCCTACGTTCGGATTCTTTATAGGATAATATACGCGCATCTAGTTAAGTCGGCGTAACGCCTTCGTTAGGACTATTAGTTATAATAACCTTAGTCGTTACGTAAGGGCCTCTAGTATACTTATTAAGCCCGAAGGCACTTAGTCTTAGTCTTAGTCTTAGTCTTTACTGCTATACGACTGCAGCCCTTTACGTATTAAGACTACTATTCGACTATAGTGCGCACCGATCCGAAAGTGCATTAAGACTGTTATCCGACTATAGTACGCCTCCTCTTCTAGTAAGCGCATTAATATTGCTATACGACTGCAACGCGCTCGACAACCTTTTTTTTTACGGTGTCTCTAATACTAAGGGCGCGGTTATACTCTATTGTTGTCTAGGTACTAATAAGTATCGCTTTAGCGAATAAGCTATTATTGTTTCGCTTAATAAGTCCCTTCCTATATACCTCGTACTGTAGTTAGTAATAGAATGCGTTGATTATTGCGCATTGCGCGTAGTATATAGGCTATATGTAATTCTAGTATACTTCGGAGTGTGTGCTTCTATAGCCGCTTAGTGCCGCTAGTTAATTAGATCCCCGGACGCTACTGCTCGTTCTTCTCTACCTCGCATAGTAACTAGTTATCGGAATAATCGTTCTAGGAGAGTCTAAGCAATAGAGGGCGTTAACGTAAGAGGGCTATCGTAGCTTCTCGAAGAGTGCTTACGCTCGATATATATTATCGCCCTACGTATCTATCCTTGCCGTATATATTGTAGTGCTAATAGCTGCGGTGCAATAAGTATAGTACTAGTGTCGCTAGTGTCGCTAGTGTCGCTAGTGTCGCTAGTATCGCTAGTGTCGCTAGTATTAGTAGTGTTAGTAGTGTTAGTAACTTCTCGGGTTTCGGAGGCGGTTCTTAGTACCTAAGGCGGCCGTCGTTATCGTATTAGACACTTTTATTAGCGCTATTTGCTAGAAACGCGCTGAATCGACGTATCTCGCTGTATTAGTAATACTGTTATAAAAGTCGTAAAAGTCGGTATTGTAAATACGCGGAAGGAAGCAGCTATAACGTTTAATCCTACTAATTAAGCGCTCTGCTATACTAAATCCGGGGTCTTAGCGGGACTCGGTATCCTTGTCGCTTCCTCGAATTCACGCTTCTCGCCTAGCTCTTATATACTATCGATATATACGACTATCGATATATACGACTATCGATACCTATAACTATCTATAAACCCTCGTCGCAAAGAATACGATAGAAAAGCCTACTTAGCGAGCTTATAAGGACACGATAGAAAAGCCTACTTAGCGAGCTTACGAGGACATAATAGAAGAGCCTACTTAGCGAGCTTATAAGGATATAATAGAAGGGTAGTAAGGAAGGACCTTATTAAATGCTAATTCTAGCGCCAATTCTAGCGCTAGCTCTCGTAGAAGTAGCTTAACTAGGCATCCTATATTATATACCGGCTCTCGTAGAAGCAGCTAAACTAGGCTAGCTCTCGTAGAAGCAGCTAAACTAGGCATCCTATATTATATACCGGCTCTCGTAGAAGCAACTTAACTAGGCATCCTACATTATACGCTAGCTCTTATAGAAGCAACGCGATCGAGCGTAGTGTTACGGCTTACTTTTCCGGGGATAGGACAAGGACTTAGCGAGCTTACAAGGACATCTCTAGTGCCAATTCTAGCGCTAGCTCTCGCAGAAGCAGCTAAACTAGGCACTACTACACGCTAGCTCTTACAGAAGCAGCTAAACTAGGCACTACTATACGCTAGCTCTCGTAGAAGCAGCTAAACTAGGCACTACTATACGCTAGCTCTCGCAGAAGCAGCTAAACTAGGTATTACACATTATACGCCAGCTCTTATAGAAGCAACTCAACTAGGCATTATACGCTAGCTCTCGTAGAAGCAGCTAAAGCAGCTCAACTAGGCTAGCTCTCGCAGAAGCAGCTCTCGTAGAAGCAGCTCTCGTAGAAGCAGCTCTCGTAGAAGCAGCTCTCGTAGAAGCAGCTCTCGTAGAAGCAACTCTCGTAGAAGCAGCTCTCGTAGAAGCAGCTCTCGTAGAAGCAGCTCTCGTAGAAGCAGCTCTCGTAGAAGTAGCTAAACTAGGCTAGCTCTCGTAGAAGTAGCTTAACTAGGCTAGCTCTCGTAGAAGCAGCTTAACTAGGCTAGCTCTCGTAGAACTAAACAGGCCTAACGAACCGATAGATAATAACGAGTCGGACGAGGAGATTATAGTCGGCGACGAGGACTTAGCGAGCTTATAAGGACATAATAGAAGGGTAGCTATAACGGATCTTGTTAATACCAACTCGACTACTATTCTACTGCCAATTCTAGCGCCATTTCTAGCGCCATTTCTAGCGCCATTTCTAGCGCTAATTCTAGCGCTATTCTAGTGCTATTCTAGTGCTATCTCTAGTGCTAATTCTAGCGCTATTCTAGTGCCATTCCAGTACTATTCTAGTGCTATTCTAGTGCCAATTCCAGCTTAGGCATCTATCTCTTCTTACGACGAGTTAGGCTCTCCTCGAGCAGGTTCTCCGGTAGGATATCTACGCTAATAAGAGCAAGGTTCTCTCGTGCCTTTAGAGTAAGCGATAGTATACGACGCGGGCGATTACTACTTATAGCCTTACGAAGAGCAGACTTAGCGACCGATATTAGAGTGCTATAATTACTATCCTCGTCCTCTCGTTAGCGCCGGCGGCGTAGTGTCCGCTATATTAGTGTACGAGCAGATAAGGCCGCAGCACTATTATCCTAGATTAGATCTCCTATACGCTTGCCTTTCGCCTTTAATTGCGATTAAGACTACTTCCTTTTTACCTTCCGATTACCTACGATAGCTTTCTTTACTAGCGATATATTAGTATCGCGAGACTTATCCGAATCCTACTATAACTAGCGAAGACGATCCTAGGCTATAGGCGGAGGCGGATACGGAGGCTAGTCGTCGCTATTGTCGCTATTTACTGCCTCTGCGGCCGTCTTTCGCTCGGCCTACTTACGCTTCCGCTCCTTATAGTACTTCTACTAGTCCTTAAATGCCTTAGGAAAGTCGTAGTTAATATATCTAAGGACTTTACCGAGGCGTAGCTTATCGTAAAGATTGTTACCGCTAGCCTAGTACTAGTTGTCGAACTTTGGCGCACTCTTAAGCATTTCCTCTCTATTTATACTAGTAGACTGCTCTTTACTATCGCCGAGTGCTAGATGCCGTATAACATTATAGAGGTCCTAGATATATCAGTCCTCGATAAGGGTATTCGATAGAAGAGTAAAGAAGTACGTATTAAACCGGCCGCTAGCTTTATTAGCCTTCCGGTCGAAGAACTTCTATAGGTATAGTAGTAAGAAGTACTACTTAGAGCCCTTATGCGGTGCTACTAGGGCTTTCGGTAGGCGTAGTACCTGTTTATCCTACTAGAATACCGAATCTAGATCGCGATTGCAGACAATGTTATAGCAGTCCTTCGAATCTAGGCTCTCCTTAGGATCCTATAATCGGAGCTCTTCCTAGTATCGCTTATTAAGGATAGCACGTAGGCATCGAGGCGTCGCTATATACTAGCTATTAAATAGTAAGCGGAAGATGTCGGGGATCTTATTACGCTTCTCTATATTATTCTTAGACTAATTCTTGCGCCTAGGCGCAGAGGCATTAGCATTAGCATTACCTGTTTCCTAGGTTTCTAGTGCAGCTATACCTGTGCCTATACCTGTGCCTATGCCTGTACCTGTGCCTATACCTATGCCTATACCTCTCGGAACGATAATAGTATCCTCGTTATCCTTATCCTAATCTAGGTCCCTATTAATATCTTCGCTAGGAATCTCGGTGTTACGCAAACCGCTTAGTCGGATCGGCTAGTATATAATAGTACCTTGTACGAGGTGCTTATATTAGTCCGCATTAGCCGGTCTGCTATCTCGATTAATAACAGAGGCATAGTTAATACTATCCGGAACACGCTTAGCTCTATCGTCGATATACTAAGGGAAGAAGAAGATAGCATACGACCGCTGTCCTACGCTAAGCTTACGACTAGCACGACTAGCTTGCTATATAGCATCGTTAATGTCCTTAGTAATAGGCAGTTGCTATATAATAACGAATTTAACATCGCTAATATTAGTGCCTATAGCGATCGCTAGGGTACTAACTATAATGCGAGTTAATAAACGAGCGCTAGGCTTCTTAAACTCGTTATATCGGAGATCCTTATCGTAATTAGCGATATAAGTAGTATAGAAAGCGACGACTTTATATACATTATAGCTAGTATTGTTCTAGGTATACTTCTTAGTTAGATCTCCTTAGCCCTCTATTAGCTAGACAAGCTACTAACGCAGTATATAGGTTAGCTTATCGACCTTGCCCCGACTATTAATAAAGACGATCGCCTTGTCGATATTCGCGGGTATAGCCTATACGCCCTAGTCGCCTTATCTAACCGCCTTCTTTAGTAGCGGATATAACAAATCGAAGTCGCTACTATACTTCTACGGAATGGTCTTAAAGATATATATAGTATCGATCCGATCGATGCTCGTACGGATAACCTTAGTCTTAAATGCCTCGCGGCTATCGTTACGGAAGCCTCTATACTTTAAGACAAATTCTAGTGTCTCCTAGGATATTGTCGTAGAGGTACCTAGCTATAGGGTATTATTGCGGAACAGGCTACGAAGGGTATAGATCTAGGCAAATTCCTTACGAAAGTCCTTCTACTTATACACTAAGTGCAGCTTATCGATAGTAACGAGGCTAATACGATCGCTAATCTTCTTAAATACCTCTCGCAGTTCCGGAGTAGACGCCTATTCTAGACTACAAAAGATATAGTAATACCTACTAGCAACGATATTATCGTATATCTTTAGATCCTTACGCTTAGTCTTAGCGGAGATTATATAGCAACGTACTAACTCGACATTGCCGGCTCTAGTAACTATAGACTTCTAAGCAAGCGTACGTATCGTTTAGTCGATATTAGCCTTCTACTCTTTACTAAGGCGGTTTAGAGGGATAATCTAGATGTTAATGCGACTAGTTAGCATAGTATATGCCTAGTAGACTAAGCTCTTGCCGCTACCGGTCTTCTCGATTATTACTATATCGGTGCCCGCGAAAACTAGGTTGTATAGTACCTCGCGCTAAAGGTCCGAAGGCATATAGCCCTTGTCTAAATAGAATGCATTTAGTACCTACTATAGGCTATTCTTGATAATGTCCCGCTAGAAGGGGATAGCCTCTCGCTTAAGACCGGCATCCTATATTAATATCTAGATTTCCTCTAGATTGAATAGCTTATCGAGTATATAATTAGTTGCAGCCTAAAAGAAGGTAGTCTTCTATTATAGATCTTAAGGAAGCTCTAGCTTCTTAGTAGACTAGTTTAGCCGCTAGCGGGTATAAGCCTTACGAGATAGAAGGATTAGTATAGCTTGTAGCTAAGTGTTCTACGTGCCTTACTATTGCTGTTACTGCTAGCGGCGCTAGTCGTATGTCTTTGCTAGACGGCCTACTAGATTCGCACTCGACTAGCCCTAACTCTAGCCCTGGTTTTTCTGCTGCTAGCGCCGTTGCCTACGTTAGTTCTTAGTAAGGTTAGGGTTCCTAGCTAACTAGAGAAAGCTACTACTAGCGTAATAGATCGGATCCGGAGGCGCTATACGTAGAGGCGGAAGATTAGTCTTAGTATAAGAATAGCTACATTCTATCTCTTTAGCTTGTCCGTAGTCCTTATATTTAATACTAACTTCCTCCTACTTTAAGTCTATTAATAGACCTATATCCCGCGGCGGACCTTAACGAGCGGCGGCACGTATTAACTAGTAACGGTAGATACGAAATCCGCGAACTATACGCTAAAGAGTTTGGCCTTTACCTTAGCGGGCAAGCTAGCGCTAGCGGCGCTGCTCCTCGAGGCGTATAGAACCTTCGAAGCCGTCCGTAATAATATAGTCCTTCTCTAGATCTTAACGTAGAACAGGATTGCTATCGCCGGTAGCGAGGCAGGCCTACTAAGGAACCTCGATAGCTTCTTCGGTATCGTCTATAATATATAGCGATAGCGACAGCGGCGGCGGAATGCGAAATACGGACTCGAGTCTTAAATGCGATAAGCGATTAGAGCTAGAAGTCGTGCTATAGAAGTCGTGCTTCGGGCATAGAAGTTGTTAGAACTAGTAGCGAAGCGCCGCGTTTAGTAAAGCGCATAGACCTTAGTAAAGCGCATAGACCTTAGTAAAGCGCATAGACCTTGAATAGCCGCGTTTTAGCCTAGTTTACCCGATCGGCATTAGCACGTAACAACGCGACACTATTACGTATAGCAAACACTTAGAGGTTAGAGAGCGGGTAATTCTAAGGGTCCGCGCATATTTCCGCCTATAGCGAACGATAGTAGTAGTGTCGTTATAGAGGTAATCCGGACGCCATTCGTATAGCGTTTGTCTTAAAGTAGTGTTTTGTAATTTTTATTCCTATATATTTAGAAATATACAGATTATTGTATAGACATTAATTTTCGTCTACTTAATACCTATAATCAATTCTAACATAACTTTTACTCAAAATGTATAGTTATTGTACTATTCTACCTGTTTTGTAGGTATATAAGGTTAATACTATAGCTTTGCGACATTTGTCCTTAGGCTCTTCTACGAAGACTTCTTCTATATACTAGACTATATACAGAAGAGCCGAGAACCGATCGACGCTAATTATACGTAGGTTAGGTAAAGGAAGGTAGAAGGTAGAAGGTAGAAGGTAGAAGGTAGAAGGTAGAAGATAGAAGGTAGAAGGTAGAAGGTAGGATGAAGTCTATAAGAAGAGCCTAAGAAGGAGGTAGGGTATAGTGTTATATAGCAGGTTTCACCCTCGTAGCGCGGTATGTCGATCGCGATAACTAGGGTAAAGCCGGGAGTAGGGGCGGGAGCGGAACGAAGCTACGGAGCCGATAGTTATTAGTGCACGCTCGCTAGGGATAGAGTGCACAGATCTGTATATAGTGTATACACTCTATAATACACTATGTACGCAGGGGTAGGAAATTTAGCTAGTATATACCCGTAAAAGGCCCTATTATTAATGGTTATCGGTACTAATAGGTGTTAGAGCCGCTACTAGCTGCTAGGCTAAGTAGATAGCTTTAGCCGCTATTACCGCCTATTAGTCGACTAGACATATACGCCCTTAGAAGTATTACATTCTCATCGCTAGAATTCGTGTCTTGTCGCGTTAGGTCCGCGTTTATATATATAATCGCGTATAGAATACGATAGATTGTAATTAAAGGGAACACTATATATATAGCTAGAATACTATAGCTAGTATAAAAAATTTTTTAAGAAAGGACTACGTTTCTAGCAGTATCTCGAGCGGAATTTAAGCGGTATAGAGGCCTTATTTGTAGGGGATATAATAGACCATTTTGTAGTAGAATTTAGCTCTTTGTCCCTATTAATCGACATTACCTTGCCTATTAGATTCTATCTCTTTTACTAAGCTAAATACTACTACTACTATGTCCGACAACTTGTCTTCTAGTTAACAACGCCTCTTGCTAGGTGCCTCTACACTAAATAAGCGGAAACGGATAGAGGATCTATGCTAGCTATTAGTAACTCGTACCTAGCTTAATAGCAAGAACTACCTAAGGGTTAAGTGTAACTTTTGCGGTAATATATAGGTTTCGAGTGCTAAAGGGCGGGTAGTTAATTATCTATCTATATGCCGTGTTCTCCCTAAGGAATACTAGGAGGAGTATTAGCCTAAGAAGGTGCCTATCGACGAGGATATTAGCCTAGCTAAGAGTAGCGAATATAAAGTGCCTCGAAGCGCTCGAGTTGTTAAGGCAAAGCAAACTATTCTTATCGGCGGCAATAGCTATATCGACTATATGTCTCCGGCTAAGTACGATACTACTTGTAAGAAGCTAACTAAGTAGGTATTAGCCTCTAGCAAGGAGTTATCTATTACTAATAACCCCTAATTTAAGGAATAGCTAAAGGTTCTTCGTCCTACTTTTATACTACCTTCTCGCTAGCAAATTCGATATAAGTATCTCCCTCGAATTTATAAGCGGCTATAGGCGGAGATAAATGCAGAGATATCGAAGAGCTCTCGTATTATATATACGAGTAATAGTTAGAAGGATACCGCTAGAAGGTCGAATACTAATTATCTTACTATTACGCCTCGGGCAGCGTTTTTCGTCGGTTATAAGCTAACTAGTACTAATCGTAGTATAGCAGAAAATTACGCTAAAGGCCTGAAGCGATTAATAGCGCTATAGAAGGATAAGGTCATTACGTTAGTTGCTAATAATGCGAATGTTATAGCGAAGGCCTCGAGGTTAGTAAGTTTAAAGATTAGAAGTAGACGAGCGGCGGCACTTTCCGTATACGGGCCGTCTTATCGTTGCTTATCGAGTAGCTAACTGTTAGATTAGGTTCAAGCCGAGATACCCCGCCTCGTTACCTTAGGTTGCTATTCCTATACTACTAAATTGCTTATAAACGATATTTATAATTACACTACTATAGACTCGTTCTATACTAAGATTCTAGCGGTCTCAAACTACTTTAAGAATACCTATCTTCCATTTGAACTACTCCTATAACTTAGCAATAGCAAAGTGCGGCGGTTTCAAAGCCCTAGAAACACTCGCTAGCAAGGTTAGCTATACTATACTCGGGCAGTCTTCGAGAACCGCTTCTAGATACAAGAACTTCGTATATAAGAACACCTCCTATTATTAGGCTTAAGCAGTAAGTAGCGCACTGCTTAGGAGCATATTTGCTACCTTACTAAGAATAATAGCTTCTAGAAGCGCTTAGACGAGTATATATTCTATAGCTACTAAAGTAGTAAAGCGGGCTATTGCTAATAACTCGTAGATACATTAAACTAATAGAGCCCTTCCTTAAGGTTACTATTGCCCTCGAAACCGACAAACTATTACTCTCGTACGTATACTCGAATTATAGATAGCTTTAGAACCAGTCCTTTATTAACGACTTCATTCTAATAAATACTATTACCGAAATGATTAGTATTCGATACGACGAGCTATATCATTCCCTAATGCTTATAGCGTATCTCGCTAATGCTCGAGAGCGACAAGATCCGGATAAACAGGCTATTCTAGTTAGCAACGACGAGGTCTATAGACTTACTAGATACCTTACTAAATAGTGCACTCTATAAGGCCGTAACAGCCGCCGACCTAGCTTTAAACACGTACTAGAGTCTACCGCCGAGGTTGAAGACAGAGCGGCCTTATTGCTTGCTAATCTCTATACTCTGCGCAACCGTAGCGGCTTATTTAGTAACAATATCGTCTAGTAGGCGGCAAAGAATATAAGCTCGTTATAATAGTAGTATAACCTTATTAAAAGCGAGTATCCTGAACTCGCCGAGTTATGTATGCTAGCTCTATTAATCTGTCTAACAACCGGTGCTACTAAGCGCAACTAGTTAGCTTATAGCTTTATCTATAACCTTCGCCGTAACCGCCTGTCTTACGAGTATATAGAGATACTAGTCTATTGCTATTGGAACCTACGGATTAAGTATAGACTTAATGCCGGCGGTAACGACAACGACGACTTCTACGACATACTATAAGACCTACTACGAGAGGCATTCACTTCTATAACAGCTATTACTGCATAGGAGGCATAGGAGGCTAATAATGCTACTAGGTTTAATACTGCCTTATAGGAGCTACTATATACTCTAGGTCTAGATAATAATATATAGACTTAGTAGGTAGAAGCATTAGCTATTCGAGAATTGACGAGAGGCTCTTAGGTCGAAGGAATCGCGGACATTTAGCTAATCGTACTATATAGCAGTCTGCAGCCTTAGTAACCCTAACCTTCCTCTTTAGTATATACTTAGTTACGCTTTGCCTAATAAGTTATAAGGCTATCTGTGTATACGGGTATACTTAGGTATATTACACTATATACAAAGGCTGCATTTCCGGAAGTGTGTATTCTAATATCCCTAACGCTCGCAGAGACGCGTACTATACGGTGTGATTTAGGTTTACGGTTTACCGTATTTTAACTTTTAAGGATCGGCTAATTAGGCTCTAATAAACACCTTATCCTTATAGTGTATATAAGGTGTTTATATAAGTGTCTGTATACTAGCAACTGTAGGGCCCGCATAGGGCACCTAGAGTTGCTAGCAACTCTAACTATACCAAGCCCCGCTAAACCTAATACAAATCGTAATCTTAGTATTGCTACTATCTCTACTGTTCCTAAATTCCTTCTACATTTCCTATTCTATATCCCCTATATTGCACAACGTCTACTAATATAGACCTATCTACGCCTAGCAGTATTAGTAACCTTAAACAGCTTCGCTAGCGAGTTTTTAACCTTATAGAAGACATTAATACCGATACGGAAGGCTAGAAATTAATACAGAGCCTATATAGCAATTAATATAATAGGAGGTCTACTAAGAAGCTAGGCAAGCCTAGTACGGATAGTATATACTATAAGAAGATATACTACTATTATATAGAAAGGTAGCGCCGTAATAAGCTAAATCGAGAAATAGTAGGTATTAAGGATAGAAGAGCCTTTAAACCGCTAGAAGAGGAGTGCTCTATTAGCTTTGTTACAATAGTAGAATACCGCTAGAACGAGGCTACTAGAAAGGTTAGTATTCGTCGTTATATAACCGCTAATATATACATCTATAATCTCGACCTTCTTAATAGCCGCAAGGTCTATTAACTAGTTAAAGATAAGGTTAAGAAGCAAATAGACTACTCGCTATAGGCGAGGCGGACGTACGACGCTATTAATAGCTAATATAGACCTAATCTCGGTATCCCTTATCTCGATATCGGTTTACTGTATAATGCCGCTAAGAAGTCGCCCTATTATAACTAAGACAAGCGGTTTACAATGCCGGCCGAACGAGACGATCCTAAGCTTTAATTATAGGGTGTTATAGCGGTAGCAAAAGAGTATAGATTGTATTATTAATTATTTAGTGTCTTAATAAAGGATAGTATTAGGAGAGGCTTCGTATAGGCTATAGAAGAAGGCATTAAGCTACTAAAGAAGTATAGCAAATTAATACTGCTAGACGATACGTACGAAGTCAACTAAATAGACTAGAAGTTGTTTAATATCCTTATTTCTAACGACAATATACGCTAGCGTCTAGTAGTATATATATTGCTTAAAAGCAAGTATAGTTAGGTCTATACGCAGGCACTACATTATCTAGCTTCTTAGGCTAACTATAGTAAACCTAGTAGTTAGTTGTTACAATATACTATTACTAATAACTCGGCTTTAGAACAGATAGCAATCCGAGAGATATTTCTACTAGTTAGGACCTATCTTTATATACGGCACTTACTACAGACTATTCGCCGCAAATTTCTACTTAAAAGTCGATACAAGGCGGTCTATAAGAAGCTAGTTTAGGTGTCGTTGTATATAGAGACTAATAAGGAGGTTAAGGTTAGAATACAATAGGCTATTAACGTTCTGCCGGACGGCTAGAACGACGAGTTGTACTCGTATTTGTTACGAGAATAGTCCGCTAAGTACGCCTAGATACAGACAGTTAAGGAACGGAGGAGCAACCCCTTATTAATACGTATAAGACTACTATAACTGCTATAACCTCCTCTTCTAAGTGTAATTGCTAACTGTCGTTACTTAGGCGCGTATAACTAGTCTAGTCGAGGCGTACTACGCCGATTTTAAGAGCAATACTAAGTCGATTAAGGCTAACTTCTCGCTCGCCGGCACTCTTATATATATACTAGAGATTAATAAGAGATAGTATAATAATACGAAGAAGGAGGCGGTAAAGGATAACCTACTTCCTATATTTACTAGATTAAATAGCAGTAGTAAGCGCTTCTGCGAGTTGCTATACTGTCTTAAAACCGCTATTGCTAAGCAATATCGACTCGCTTAGAAGCGCGCTTATGCCGGGCTTCTAAATTAGACATAATATTAACTATAACTCGATAACTAACTCCCCGATATATACTAGTGCTTCTTCTAGAAGCAGTAGTACTAACCGTATCGGTATATTTAGTATAATTAAGAGATATTAGGCAATAGCATAACGGCTAGATAGGTAGATTGCTATATTAACCGTTTCTTCGACCCTAATAGCTTTAATAGCGATATTAACTCGCCGAAGACTTATAGCGAGTAGCTCGTAGATAATAATAACCTATACGAAGACGATAAGGCCGAGGAAGTTAACGCTATTACTAGCACTATATTAAAGGACCGTTACCTACTAATTCGTAGCCTTATCGAGAATATTACTTACGACTATTATTAGAAGATTAAGAAGGCGGAAACAGTAGTACCGGCGTATCTATTATTAACCTATCGAGACGACATTACTAAGCAGTATTACACTAAATATATACGCCTATCGGCGGCAGCAGAGCTACTATAATAGCTCTAGCAATATTAATAGTAACACGACGATAGCATATTGTTTGCTATTTAATAGGCGTAGGTTAATATAGGCGTAGGCGCCTTACTATTAATCTACTACTACTACTACTAGCAATAACAACCTTACTAAGTATAATAACCGTAATAGGTAAGGGACCTATTCGCGCTAGGCGAGGGCACTTAACGCGTATTAGAGTATATAGCGACTAGTCTCTATACTAATTAGTATAGATATAGTTACTAACCTCCTCCGCTTTCCTTCTAGCAACCTCCGCCGTCGCTATTTAAACCTACGTAGGTTACTAACTCGGTACTTTAGAATACGTACGCCGTAGGCGATAGCACCTATTAATATAATATACCTTCTTTAAACGACGGCAGTTTAATAGACGTTATATACTATGTCCTTTACTAATAGTAACTTCTATATACGCCTACTATACTAAGCGGTCTTCGTTACTTAATAATCGCCGCTTATATACCTATACCGTAGCCGTTAAACCTCCGATAATATATACTATAATAGTCGCTAATCGATATATTATAACTAAGTTATAAGGAAGCGTCTATCTTTATTAGAGACCGCCGATTTCTATTAAAAGAACAGTAACGAGTATTTAATAGTAGGACTTTTAGTAGCGGTAGCGGCAGTAGACATAGTAGCGGTAGATATAGCGGCAATAGATAATAAGGGTAAGAGCAAGTAGATATACCTCGAATTTAGCGTAACGGCTATACTATATATTAACTTTAGCTTTATTAAGTTATCGCTAGTAACCTTAGTAGAAATTACTATATTTCTAAAGCCCTTTAGAATTTAAAGCATATTTTAACTAAATTTATTAGGGGAGTTGCTAGCAACTCGAGGTTAGGGGTAGGATAGGGGTAAAAGTAGGTCGAGCTAATTAGCGCGAGTTGCTAATATATAGACACCTGTTTATATAGCCTTAGCAGGTTAGGTACGTAATCAACCTGTATAGTGGCCCGTGCTTAGCGTATCCTCCAGGTATCCTAATCAGAAACAAGTTAATACGCGTTGCTTACAGTATATATGCTTGTGTTCATACGCCTGCTGAAGGACAGACCCGTGTTCATAGTGTTCATAAGCATGTGACCAGTCACCACAGTGCGTGAGTGGGGACCTAAATCACTAGCCACACCATCGGAAGGCTATTTTACCAAACCGAGTTCGATTGGAATCAGCCTCGTGGATAAGGATTCGAGGATTCGACTGGTACTGTAGGTCAGCGTACAGAGTTTCGTTTCAGAAAGTGGCAGGCGGCAGCGCAGAGCCCCGATGCCAGAGATCGCCAAAAGGCTGTGCAGTGTGCTTGTGCTGCAGTCGGGCACATGTCGCCGTTGCGGCCGAGTGTGTGAGCCAAGCCGCTGGCCGAAAGGGTTGGCCATGCTCGAGCGGAGGCCACGACTTCAGCCGCACTCTCATCATGATTCTTCTGCTTGTGGTATTCGCTATTCGCGATGCGGCGTGGCTCCCGGTACTGCAAACGGCTCCTGCACTTTGGCATTGCACACAAGGAGCATAAGCTTCTTCATCCGCAACACGATGGCGCGCCTTGCCTTGGAATCCATCGTCTGCCCCCAGAGAAGGTCGGATGTGGTGCCGAGAGGCGTGTGCCTGATTGGCCGCCAAAATGGATTCATTGGAATGGTGGCAGGGAGTCAGGAGGCGGTCGGGCAATGTAGGCCGGTGGTGTGCTCTGCTGACCCGACCAAGCAGAGGCATTGTACGACGCCACACAGCTGCAGCAGCGCAATCATCACGCCGGACTGCGCGCGGCGACCGGTGAAATTACATAGAATACTGACCAAGTGGCATAGCGCTCGCTATGCTGGCCAGTCGGACTTGGGCCGGTGGAGAGAACAGCTTTGCTCGAATCCAGTTGGACGTGGTGAGCAAACTCCATTATTGTGCGCTTGGCAGCGGTCGGTGGTCGGTGGTCGGTGGTCGGTGGGCCATGGGCCAAATGATTCTATTGCGTGTGCGTTCGTGCGCGACTCGGTATGGACCGACGTAGAGGCTAAAGGATATGCTTTCTATTCCCTGCACGGGCCCGAAATGCCACTGAGGGCAGCGTTTGGCAGTGCTGATGGAGCGGCTGCGCATGGTGCTGCTGCGATGCGATGCGATGCGATGCGCTGCGATGCGCTGCTGGCGTGAGGGCATGTTCTTGATCTCCAGGAGGGCAGATCGCTGGTGGCGCTCTTGACTGGACGAGCGCGCTCGCTCTGCCGCAGCTGTTGACGGCCCCCAGCCCAGCCCCAGCCCCAGCCCCAGCCGTACCAGTACCAGCATATCCCCCATTGACCCATTGACCGCCCAATCTCCTCCATCTCCACCGCGACTGCGCGCCGACACTGCACTGGACGGGTGCTGCTGATGTGACCGCACATGTGTCTGGTCAGTGGTCACCTGCAGTCATCTCATCTCGGCCGGCTGATGCTGCGAATGCAAATGGCAGCCTCCACGCCGCACACGCACACGCAGAATCGCGGTCCGCATACCGTATCGCATACCGTATCGCATACCGTATCGCATCGCGCATCGCGCATCGCAGGCAGGCAGATGCGCATCCACATCCACACGACTCATCCCCTCCGTCCGTCGTCATGGAGCATGAGACGTGCCAAAGCTTGATACTACACTCTAGTATGCGCGCCTGTCACCCAGCGCACTGTCCACGCTCGTGCCAGGTGCCAGCGCCAGCGCCAGCGTCCCGTTTACCGACCCTGGGCCCATCTCTTCAACGTGAGGGACCAGGGTCGGAATCCTTCGCTCCAAGCCAAGCACAGAGCCGCTAGCACTGTCGAGGATAGCATGTGTTGGTGCTGGTGTGCCTTTATTACAACGCTGCAACGCTCGCTCTGCTCTACAGCCCCAAGAAGGCGCAGGCGCACGCGTCGATGCGTATTTCTGGTGTCAGGACGATCATATCTCTAACGCAGGCCCTAGCCATCATATGCTTTGACATCTTCTCCCGACCATGCGACGTGACCTTTAAAGCAGAAAGCATTCCTTCCGGTTGGCCTGACCCGATTCATTTTGATCATCATCTTGATTGACCATGCACTCACCATCTCTCCAGTCTACTACCACCAACCCACACTCCCACCGAGCCCCATCTCACACATCCTTCTCTGCGCAGCTATCGACGCTCAATAATCGCGGTGCAATCCAGAAACGGACCAACGACACCGATCGCACTCGATCCATCTCCGTCTCGCGAGCTGACCGTCTGTATCGCCTTGCTGCCGAACAACAGGCCAACTTCGAACATCCCATTCCATCAACAGCTGGAGGCATCCAGTGGATCACTCCTCAGCACTCACCCCAACCCCAGCCCTTCACCTCCGAGCAACTCATCGAGCCCTTCCCACACTGGACCGCGCCGACTCCCCCTCGTTCGGATTCCGGCATTCCTACCCTTTCGGTCGACGCGAACGACGAACCTGTGACCACTGCTATCAGCGTTGCTCCTGAGTTCGCGTTTGAGCAACCCTCTGCATCATCTGCGGAAATGAGGTGCGTCACGGCATATGTAATCACTTGACGCTGGCGCGGAATTAAGCTCATGACTGTGCAGCTCGTTAGGCTTCCTGCTTCCATCCACCTACGGAGGCGCGCCATACGAATCCGAAAATAGCAGTACGTATCTTCCTTCGCACTTTCCTCCACGTTCTGTCGCTCACACTACTGTACAGACTACGCCATGGATCAGAACCAGTATATTCCACCGATGCGCATGTCGCAACCTACCACGACCAGTGGTACTTCTGCATATGCCCAGACTTCATCTTCTAGCCCTGCACTGTATCAAAGCCGAACGTCTGATGCATCAAGCGCACGGCGACACTCTGAGATGCCAGCTGCCAGTGCATCGCCATATGATCAAAGCTACCGTCGAGTAAGCAACCCTTACGAGGGGGGCTACTCCATGCCTCCCAGCCAAAACATTCCGTCGATTAGTGGCTTGACGCAAAGCCCGTTACCTTCCCCAGGAATGCACCAGACGTCTGCAGCGCAGATGATGCCACAATATGACACTAGCAACATGTCAAGGTCCGTTCTTTCGATCCCAGGAGCTTGTTCATCCTGCGACGGCACATGGCTAACGTGACTTTAGATCTCCAAACATGTACCAGTCAAACCCGTACGGACAGTCATATACGACAGCGCCTGCCAACCCACAGATGTACGCGCCAAGTCAGCAACAGAACATGTCATACCCTCCACCTTTCGTGGGCAGCAGCGTGAACGAGATGACCAAGCCGCCTATGGGCGGCACTGATTCTTCGATACGAGTACTCAACCAACGACCGAAGCCCCAATGTTGGGAACACGGATGCAACGGTCGACAATTCTCCACATTCAGCAACCTCCTACGACACCAAAGAGAAAAGTCTGGCACCGCCTCGAAATCGTATTGTCCGAAGTGCGGGGCAGAGTTCACTCGAACGACGGCGAGAAACGGTCACCTCGCGCACGACAAGTGTACAAAGCAGCGACGCCCCTCGGATGGAAAGTGATGATGATGATGATGATGATGATAATGATGATTACGGCAGCATGGGAAAGGCTTTTTATGAAAACAGATGGACAAGGATTTTTGAAATTTTGCATTATACTGGCGCGTTTTCTAGATTCCTTCTTCGATTATACCCTCGTTGGGCGCCTGTGTTGTGTACTACTGCGAGGGAATGCATGACCGCTTCACCACACGCCTACCACACGTGGGAAGCAGGGAGCGAGAGCGAACAGTGTGCGTGTAAAATCGGGAGGCTTTTCCCCGAAAGATGGCGGAAAGCATGATGAATTCATTCTTCCCTTCTTCGGCACCGAGAGTCGAGTCTTTTTTTTCTTGTTTGGCTTTTTTCGCCTATTATTCTCACATCTCGGCCAACAAAGTTCCAGTTCGACTACTACTGTACAAAAAATAGCGACTGAGGGCTCACCGCAGATCGTAGACGGTATAGGCAGCCAAGTTCGCGAGAGGTTGACACCGGCACGCGCTACGACCCAGTCGACCCAGTCGGCGAACTCATTCTCAGCCCGACTGGCTCGAGCATCCATGCTTGCTTAGCCTTAGCGCTGGTCTCGTATGCCACCTCTGACCGGTGCACGGCGCTCGTTGCTTGCTTACAAAGGCTATAAGGTAAACGAAACGGGGATTCTTGGAACGGCGACAGTGTGGAACTGGAACGGCGATTGCAGCTCCGGTCTCGTGTTGCGTGCGGCTTGGAGCGGGATTATTGTTTGCGAGTGCGAGCGAGCGAGCGAGCGCCGCTGATGTGATTGATGGTCATGCAGTACGGACCTCGCTTCGCTTCGTAATAACATCACGGGTGGGTGTAGGCCGACGGTCGTTTGTCAGGCAGGTGAATGAATGAATGAATTGTAATGTAATATTAGTTAGTACCAATCAGGGATTTTTGTCTTCCATTTATTCCTGCACAGTTGATGGTCGCACAACTTTCAGCCCACTAGATCTGCAGGATAGCGGCAGGAGTCGCGCTATGAATCGAATCCATCGACACACGTTTGCCATGTGTTTGGATTCTTCTGGAGATAGAGGATTGCCGTACCTTTTTTGTTTCCTTTTTTTACGCCGACCCGGCTCCTACGTCGTTTGGCGCGGTGTTGTATGTAATGCCTGTACATGTAGATTGTGGGCCTACGATCTCGTACTACTGTAGCGTGTAGGGTGTCTTACGTCCCACTTCGCGCTCAGGGTTCGAGAATATCACGTTGATTCACAAGTGGCAGTGTATGCGAGATGATGTTCTTGGCTACATTTCTTGCGCACCAGGTGAAGTCCCACTTTCGGGCCAGGTTGGTGCGTCTTCCCACCGGTGAAGGTTTTTGGTTTAGACTTAGCAGCAGTATACCTTGTTCAGACCTTGTTCTGCTCACTGAGGGTTGGCTTTTACCTGTCACTCGGCCGCGGGGAAGCCTGCGAGTGCTAAGCAGCTTACCGCCACCAATTTTGTTAGGCACTTTGCTCGTAGAATAGTATATCTTCCTCCCTTCTACGTACCTACGTATATAGTGCATTTTGAAGCCAAAGTTGTCGCTATAAAGTAGTAGTATAGCCGTTTCCGAGGTATTACGAGGTAAAGAATGCGACTAGGTAAAGAGCTTAGCGTAGAACACTAAGAGTTACTAAAGGACTGCTTTGCGTAAGGCAAAGATGTCTATTAAACTATAGAGACAAGTCGACTGCCTATCTATAGGCGTACGGTATATAGAGCCCTCGATAACTAGCGGTTATTTAGCGAGATCTACCCTCCTCGTATTACAAAGCGAGGCCGTAAGACTATTCTTAACAATAAGCAAGAGATATTTATTAAGGCGTTATTATCTAACCGACCGGACTCGTACTTCGTAGAGGTAATATAGGCGCTTATCGACGAGTAGCCGGAGCTTTAAGAGGTATTAAAATATACGCATTTATCGAGTGTCTTAAAGCGGCGTAGTTAGAGGCGTAAATCGGTATAAAGGAAGGCGAAGGAGCGCAACCTATTACTAAGGGCTCTATAGATGTTTAGGTACGCTAAATAGCCGGTAGATAGGCTAATATTTATCGACGAGACTGCCTATAATTAGAAGACTAGTTAGCGGAAGTATAGATAGTCTCCGAAGGGCATTGATTATAGAGACTTCCGGTACGCGTAGCGAGAAGTAAGGTAGTCTATACTGCCCGCTTTTACTATTAATAGCTATCTGCCTTATACGATTAGTCGATAAGGCTCGATAACTCGAGAGATCTTCGTCGCTTAGTTAACTAAATAGGTAATGCCTTACCTCGAAGGCTATCCGCCGATAATCTTTGTAATAGATAATACTAGTATCTACTATAGCTCGGAGGTAAGGGAGGCGATATTGTTAGCTAGTTACTAACTCGAATACCTACCTCCGTACTTACCGGATTTGAATCCTATCGAACAGACCTTTAACTGCTTAAAGTGCTATATTAAGAGGCACATTCGAGACGCAGAATGCTTCTCAAACTTCGGCGACTTCTTATATTATTGCCTATAGCGATATTAAGGGCCGAGGGCGTAGAAACTCTTCGAATATGCCGGATATAACGTCTACTGCCTAGATTTCGCGTTTTCTAAAGAGGGCTTCGTTAGTGCCGCCGGCTACGTATAAGATCTAATAGGTCTCGATCCGGAAGAGTCTGCCTAGTATAACTAGTGTCTTTATACGCCGCCGGCGTCGATTAGTAAGTAGATTAAGGATGTAGATAGCGACGAAGAATCTGAAGAAGAATAGGAGTAATAATATAACGTAGCGGCAGAATGCGCTAGTACGACTAGCGCGCTCGAGCCCGAGAAGTATTGTAAATGTTCGAATTCTAGGCTTTTATATAAAGATAAAATCTTAATACACAACGCAATACAATACTAGATATTTAACATATAGAATATGTTTAGTCTAATTAGTCCGCGCCTGCAATAATTATAAAAAATAATAGTGTAAACGTTATACAGCACTGCGAGAAGTAGAGCCTAAATTCGTACTTTATATAGTATCCTTAGCTCCGGCTAGCTCCGCCGCTATAATCTTATCGGCTTTTAGTATTAGGAACTTCTCGATTGCTTCCTTTATTCTATACCGCATACTCGCCTTTGTTTTAAACTCTTCCTACTATTGTTTCTTGCTTATATTAGCGATAGTAACTAGGTCGAAGTCCTCGTCGATATAGGTCTTCTATATAGCTCGCATTTCCGCCGAGTCGTGAAATAGCGGTGTCTCGAGTGCCTACTAGAAGAATCCGACCCTTAGCTCCTTACCCTCCTTTAAACCCTCCGGTAGTACTATCGGCAACGATATATCCTTTATAAGACCTAGTCTTAGCAAGGTACGAGCTAGTATCTTCGAAGGAGTCGTAGGAGTGAATCTAGGTCCTATAGCTGCTTAGAAACTAGCCGCTACTTTGTCTCCGAAGATAATATTAATAGGAGCCTAGACCTTCGGGCGGGCTTCTAAAGCCTCGCTATAACCGCTAGCAACGCCCTTCTTCTTTAACTAATTAGCGACCTTCTTAGCTATATCTCTCTCGAAGTGTAGCTTAATTATTATAATAAGGACCTCTATATACATCGGATCGCTAAATTTCTACTAGCCTTAAGCGATTAATCTTACTAGCAATTTAATTACTTCGGAGGTTATAAGCTAGTGCTTATTAGGCACGTCTTGCTTGTCCGGATTGCGCTAGTAGTAGGTCTTAGGTCCTTTAATCTTAACGTTACGACAAGTGCTAAGATTATACGCAAAGTAAGCTCGAATATTAATCTCGAAGTTACTCTTCTCGTTTAGTTCTATTACTTGAACGTTAGCGAGAGCGGCTTACTACTAACCTAGCGTCTTGCTAAGAGGTCTCTTGCTAGTAGCCGTGCCTTGCCTCTACGCTAAGCTAACTAGACCTGCGCTAATAGGCCTTGGTTTAGTATAGAAGAATATATTAAGTTGAGGGTTAGTTAGCAACTCCTCGTCGATCTAGTAACCGAGACAGTTAAGGGCACGGCTATAAGCCTTGTCTTCTTCCGCAGCCTTATTATTATTATTATTAAATAGTTGCAGCTAGGTCCCTTAATAATAATCCTTCTCTTTAACCCCTTTATAATAAGCCGACAAAGTTACCTTTAAACAGCGCTCTAAGCTATACTTCTCGGTTACTTTGCCTGCCTATTTGTATCTATTCTAACCCTCGGCTAGATCCGTAACGTCGAAGACATTACGCTTTAAGGCAACCTACCTATCTTCTTTAGTCTTCTTCGTAGTGTCTATAAGGTACTAGCAACCTCTATAGTCTATTAAAACGAGGCCCTTCTTATTAGTAAGCCGCTCTCGAATGTAGCTCTCGGGCGTAAGAGCTATATTACTACGACCGAGAGCCTTTAATCTTCTAGTTGCAGAAGAAGACTAAGACTCGAAGGACGTCGTTATAGAGCCGCCTATCTTACCGCCTATCTTACCGCTAACGTTACTAGCTACCTCTTTAAGCGAGTTAAGCACTGCTTGTTCCTTAGTACCGGAAGCCGTAGTGCCCGCAGTAGAGCTATTATTTACTCTATCGATTAGCGGTGCGGATTTAGCCGTAGGCTTCTTCCTAGCCGGATTAGCTATCGGCGGCGGCGTAATTAGCTTCTTAAGCGTCTTTAAAACAGGCTTCTTCTTAACCGTAGCGGTCACCTTAGTTAGACTCGTGTCTAGTCGCTTAGGAGCCTTGCCGGCAGTTGAGCGAGTCGTACGACCTTCTATTAATGCTTAGCGGCTTGCGGAATACCCTCGTTCTTAACCCTAATCGATACCTCGGCGTAGGTTTAGATAAATTGGAACTATTGGCGCTATTCTATATAGTCTTAAGAGCATCTACACACTAAGTTTACTAAGAGAGCTGCTCTTAGCACCCCTAAAGCGTATTCTCGAAGATCGCGGCTCTGCGGACCGAGAGTAATAGGTAAAAGCCAACCCTTAGTTAGAAGGCTTCTAGCCTTAGCGCACGGTTAGCCTTGGCGCACGGTATTCAGCCACTTCCGTAGACTATCTTTATATGTGAATAACTCTACAACTATAGACCCGATTAACAAGGCGATTGATAATCTAAATAGCTAGGACACTCCTAATATCGCTGCTACTGCTAGGACCTATAGAGTGAACCGTTGTACGCTTTCTAAGCGCTAGAGAGGTGTCTAAGGTAGTAAACAGGCCTAATACGAAGACAAGCGATTATTAAGTAATCTACAAGAGGCTGAGTTAGTCTAATATATTAATAAGTTGACTAACTTAGGCCTACCACCGACTGCCTAAATAATACGGAATTTCGCTAAGCAGGTCTGTAGCTAGGAGCCTAATAAGAACTAGCCTACTAAGTTTACTAAAAGGCACTCAGATATATTGTCTTCTAAGTACCTTAGCAACCTAGATAAGGCTCGGAAGAAGGCTGATTTATAGTCCTCGTATACTAACTACTTTACTAAGCTAGAAGCAAAGATGAAGAAGTATAATATTAAGCCTAAGAATATATATAATATAGATAAGAAGGGCTTTATAATAGGTATGCTTAGCAAAGCTAGAAGGATCTTTATAAAGCAGGCCTTATTAAGTAGCTAGCTAAAGGGGTATATATAGGATAGCAACCGTAAATAGATAACAGTCATTGCCTGTATTAGTGCTAATAGTGAAGCACTGCTACCTGCCTTAATCTATAAGGCTCAACCTAGCTAGTTTTAGGATACCTAGGTAGAAGATGTAGACCTATAATAGCATATAGCCTTCTTTACCGAGTTACCTTCTAGCTAGACAAACGATAAGCTTAGCTTTGTATAGCTTACTTAAGTATTCGATCGCTTTATAAAGCAGAAGGCTCGTAATAGTCGCTCTTAGCGGCTATTAATGCTGGATAGCTACGGCTCTTATTTGAACATAAAGTTCCTTAACTAGGCACTATAAAGACAGATACTAATAGGCGTATATCCGCCTCATTCAACCTATAGATTACAGCCTCTAGATATCTCGTTGTTTGCGCCTCTTATAAGCCATTATTTAACAGCCTTAAACTAGTTTATATACAGATCTATAGGTATATAGGGTATAACAAAGCGGGTGTTCTTTAACCTATTCTAGCAGGCTTAGACTAAGGCTATAGTAAAGAAGAATATATCTAGTAGCTTCTAGAAGACAGGCATCTATCCGTTCAATCTAGAGGTAGTACTATCTAAGCTAAAGAAGCTAAAGAATAAGATAGAAGCGACATCCAGTAAGCAGGCTAATAGGCCTTCTTTAAAGGCTTTAACTAAGTCGAGTATTAAGCGAGCTAACTAGAAGAAGATTAAGGCTATTATTAAGACTATAGTAGACGCGAAGAACTCGAAGAAAGTGCTAAATCTGAGGGACTAGGTTAGCAGCTTGCAGGCTCAGAATATATAGCTCTTAAGTTAAGTTAGTAGACTTATAGCTACTCTTAGTAATAAGCAGAAGCGTAGAAAGCGAGGTAAGAAGTTGTTTAAAGAGATAAGGGCTAAAGACGGCTCTACTGCTATGTTTTACTTACCTAATAAGATTTAGTAAGCAAGAGATATACTTGCTAGGAAGGAGCAAGAGAAACAAGTAGAGGCTGCTTAGAAGGAGGCTTAGAGGGTCTAGCAGCAACTAAATAAGCAATATGCTATATAGGCTAAGGTACTAAAGGTATAGTAGAGATAGGTTGCTACTAAGGAAAGGAAGGAGAAACTAGCTTAGAAAGTAGCTAAGAAGGAGGTAAGGAAACAGTTAGTTATAGCTGCTAAACAGCTAAACAACAATCTTTAGGATAGTATTAAGAAGGTAAGGAACCCTCTAAGGCGTATTATATTTGAACAGCTATAGGAAGAAGATATTGTATACACTCTAAGGAAGAAAGCCGGAAATCGGGCTTTAGAGGTAAAGCGAGCTATACTGATTGTAATACTACCTATAAGGGTCTAGAAGTTGTCCTAATTAAACCGGCGTAGTCGAAATGTATATAGAGGAAAGCATTAATAGTATAGCCGTTATATTGATAGAATGCGACCGTAGAGAAGGTATATAAGTTGAATTATAGAAAGCGTGCGCCAAGGCTGACCGTGCGCCAAGGCTGGAAGCCTTCTAGCAGGGGCATGTGTCGAGAACGAGATCGTCATCGCTTGCAACGAACACGGTCAATGCGGTGACTTCACAGATACAGCAGAATTAGGGTGCTGAAGTCTGAAGTATGTACAGCTCCAATCTACGGGAAAAATTGTCCCAGCAATAATGTGTTTGCAACATGGAAACTGCCAGGCATTCAAGGGATAGTTCTACATACATACAATGATCAAGTCGAAGTGGAGGGGCCGGCTCAACCTGAGGCTCCACTCGATCTTGCCAAGGAATTCCCGACCTCGTCTCTCTGATGACTGACTTCGCAAGTCCGTGACTCCATCACGGCAACAAGATCATCATGCTTGCCCACCACATGGCTTGAGCTGAACCGCAACACACCAAATCTATCATATCCAACCGCAGAATCATCACAATGTCCAAATCGATGGCACAGCTATTCAGAATCCACCACTCTCACACGAACACGCGGTCTTTAGCGAAACAAACGAGATTCAAAAGAGCAAGATATTGGCGCTGCTCATGAAGAGAGCGAGATCGAGATCGAGATCGTACTGTCGTTGAAGATTTTCGCCATCTGTGGAACGATTCCAATATCGCGTCTGGCAGCACAATCGTGCCCGTTGGTATAAAGATTGCACACTCAGGGCGTGTGAATGCTTTGGACACACCCTTGCACATCGAGATTGAGATGGCGTCTATCTTCACATTCAACGATGAGCCCGTCCGTGTTGCCTCCCCATGGCTTCAGGGCGCGGACAGCGGCTCGCATACGCCAAACGAGGTGCCATTAGCCGGTAATGAAAGCTCGCCCGGTGTCGCAACTGCCTCTCATGATCAATCCCCAGGCTCCGCCAAAGTCACCCGCCTACAAGCAGAACCTCAGGAAGGACCTGTGGAATACAAGTTGCATCTTCTGCTTCGTCCTCGACGGAAGTTCAGATCAACCAGCACTGGCAACCACCTATCTGGATCAAAGCATTCAAAGTACGGGAGCTCCAAATCCGCATCGCGAAGCGTGTCGGAGCCTATATCGGAGTCAGCAGCCGCGAGCACAGTGACTCCCCCACTTGCTTCTACCCAGCAGACCAGACAGCACCGCCTGCAACAGCTGACCACGCAGCTGCTTTGGCGCTTGCAGCAGTCCTCACCACACCATACCTCACGCGCACCGAGTACCATCCTTCCATCGCTACCCGAGGCTCTTCCAGAACTGCAAGTGCCTCAGCAGCCAGATAAGCTTCTGCATGGCTTGGAAGAAAGCCAAGGTGCTTTGTATGAGATCGGTGTCTCCGATGATGGAGCTCTCGTGGGACTGGCCGAGGATGAGATGAACGAAAGTATTAACAACCTACGTGCTATGGCTGCATGCCTTGGTTGCACTGTTGACGTGCTGCGTTGCGAAGTTGTTGGCGAGGCCGAATGGCTAGACGATACTGTCATTGGCGGTGATCAGCGAAAGCTGCGTCGTTCTGGCAAGCTTGTGGTTGCTGAAGCATTTGTGAAGCCCTTTCTTCAGCCTGCGAGTCCGACTTTGGCGGGTAAGGATCAACCGAAGAACGGTAAAGTACATTCTGTGCTGCCAAGTGCTGCGGATGTTGCGCCGCCTTCTACGGACCAGCTTCGAATCACTCTGACTGGTCCTACCATGAGCGGAAAGTCCTCTCTGCTTGGAGTCTTGACCACTTCAACGTTAGATAATGGTCGCGGTAGTAGCAGACTAAGCATGCTTCGGCATAGCCATGAGAGAACGTCCGGGCTTACTAGTTCTGTAACCCAAGAACTTCTGGGATATCGAGACGCCACCGATGGAGCTCTCGATGTCGTCAACTATGCCACTGCAAACGTGGCGTCTTGGGTCGACATTCATGACACTTCTGCTGGAAGTAGATTAGCACTGATATCCGACTCTGCGGGACATCCTAGATACCGTCGAACTACGGTCAGAGGCTTAGTTGGATGGGCACCTCACTGGACGCTATTATGCATCCCAGCTAACGATGCTGAGGAATTAACTGGCAGCAACGGTGGCTCAACATCAGCCCAGCACTTTCCTGTACCGTCTGACATGGACCTCTCTGGCGCACAGCTTGACTTGTGCCTGCGACTAGGTCTTCCGCTAGTGATAGTGATCACCAAACTCGACTTGGCGTCTCGTGCAGGCTTGAAACAGACCCTAACCAAAGTCCTCGATGCGCTCAAGGCTGCAGGCAGAAAGCCAGCGATGCTTCCCAACAAGTCTGGCGTGGTCACTCAGGCCAACCTGCAGACAGTTGATACTGCTTCTCTTGACGCTGCTTACAATGCCTCACTCCCATTACTGAACGATCCGGCCGGCGCTGTGCCAATAGTCTTAACGAGTGCCGTTGATGGCACTGGCATCGGCAACTTGCATGCACTCTTACATGAATTGCCGATAGCGGATTTCAAGGCCGAGGATATGCCCGATGGCCTGCCTGTCTTCGATGTTGAAGATATTTACACCAAGCCCGCAGAAGTCGAAGGCGTCATTGTCTCCGGCAGACTCCGAAAAGGCCAAATATCTGTTGGCGACGTCCTTGTCATTGGCCCTTTCTCAAGTACAGACAGTCAAGATGATTCCGAAGACTCGGACGAGAGGCCATTTCGCAGGAATTCGTCACACTTACCAACCTCTCGCTCCTTCCCAGGCGCGCTCCGCAACTCGCTTCTTGCCCCACCCATCTATCAGCTGCCTAACCAGGAGTGGCGGCGTGTCAATGTGGTCAGTATCAGGAACCTGAGACTCCCAGTGCACACATTGCATGCAGACCAGATTGGCACTCTTGCGATCACACTGGAAGACAACAACGATGCCACATCATCTGCTCTGCATCGCCTCCGGAAAGGCATGGTTCTCGCGACGATTCAACCCGCCGCAACCCGCACATTCACGGCTCAATTCAAACGTGAAGATTTGGAGTCGCTCGGCGTGGGAAGCCATGTCATCGTCTACATTTCGAGCGTGCGTGCGTCAGCGAGAGTCGTCTCAGCGCGTGCTCCGGACTCGCCAGATCTACCCAAGACAGATGTCACTCCAGACGAAGACTCATACCTTCACAAACCTTTCTCATTCGACGACCTCGACGGTGTTTCGGCCAGCCCCAAACTCGCCGGCATGATCACGGCCCCAGACCTTCTGGTGATATTCTCGTTTGACGCTGCAAAAGAGTTTGTCATGATCGGAGACCGCATCTTGGTCATGCCAGGAGGTGGTCACGGTCATTTTGGAGGTCTTGAAGGCTTCGTAGGTGTCGTCACCGATACAAGAGGATGAAGGAGCAGAGAGCAAGCCACCCACCCACCCAATCGCACACATTCCATATTTTGGCTCTATCTCAAATCCTCGCGTTCATGCCTTTTCTTCCTCCACTCCTTCCCGAAACACCATATTCTTCCTCTCAACCCTACAGTATGGTAATAAAGCCGAGGAGGCTCGCTTTGTTTCGGGTCTCCCCCTGTTTTCTTCTCCATGCTGTTGTTCCTCATGCACATTCACACCAACACCTGCGGCTAAAATACCCGAAAAAGCCACAGCGCTTGCCTAAATACTTCTCTTCGTCAGCAGTCGTTCGCGTGTCCTATAATAATAGACCCACAGCCGCTTTTCTGAACGACATCTCACTACATACATCCATCATAGTGTTGTCGACTGCATCTTCTCGTGGTACCTAACTGCGACGAGCAATGATGTGAGCGATCAGCTCCAATCTATTTTCTGCTCTCTAGATACGACACGACGCCGTTTGTGCAACCTATCACCACATTCTGCATGCCCCTCGCTCTGAAACTCAGCCCTCACGTACTCAGATTTCTCGGTGATGATCCGCGCAGATCAAGGCACAGCACACCGTGATGACAGACACGTCCCGGCCTTCTTCTTTGCTTTTCGGTTCTCCGGTAAGCTAAAGTAACACCGACAGTACCAGTAGAATAATAATACCACCATTCCATCCCACTCCACTGTGCGATCGCACGGCGCATGCGCACGCGGATTTTTTTAAGCTTTCCTTCTCTGTTACTCCTCCTCAGCTCCTTCGCACTACTCGCGTGTCTGACTGGGTTTGACTTTGCTGACAGGTGTGGTGTCGTGCTCCGTATCTCTCTTGTAACCAGACCAGTTTAGTCTAGAATACCGCCCCGCGCCCGTTGCTTGCCCTTCTACATACATACACTTGCTCGGATGTCTTGCCGAATTCGGTGCTTGCTTGCTTGCTTGGAAAGCAGAGGTTCTGCTTACGGTACCTTGATGTAACTGTTAAGATGTTTGGAATGATTATTGGATGATGATGGTCGAAAAACTTCGGTCCGATTTCATCTGTGTGATTTTTTTTTGTGAGGCGGATGAGTAGGGGTGACCTGGATAGATATAAAGTACGTGATGGTGACCGGCCGGAGCTTCTAGAATGATGATGGTCGCCTTCTTCTGTGTGTATGTATGTATGTATGTGACTGCAGGCATTGATGTGCTGGCTGGCTTTTCCTGGTTGTTGTCTCGATGGACTGGGTGTCGGATCGAATCGTTTATCTCTTGAGGGAAACTTTCTAGGTATCTCTAGAATATCACATACATGCAGGGTTGACGATGACTTGGTCTGGTTACAGACAGAGGCTCAAGGGTATAGTCATCCATGACCTATGCGGTTTCGTAAGGCTTGAAAGGGGGAGAGAATTTAGTTCCATTCACGCTTGCCTGGATTTTCGATCTTGAGATACTTACTACTGGTAATGTTATCAAACACTGCTGGTCCCATTGCAAGGCTGCGGCTCGAATCTGCCCTTGAGATTTTTCATTTCACTTGTTTCTGCTACCTTGTTGATCTGAGATGAGATGGCTTTAGCCTGAATCCGGGACGATAAAAGATGTGTGATTTTAAAAGAAAACCAATCTTCAGGATGAGGGCATGTCTTTAAACTGTGAATTTGGCGCGCTCTGAGTTGGATCCACCAGAATGCGATATGCTGATCGCAAAGCTCAAAATATCCGGCCGAGGCGTGCATCATCGCGCTGGGGATTTCGCAGTGCGGGCCAGATGGTGTAGAATTTTTCTGGCTGGATTTGTTGTCCAGATGATGTAAATGTCAAGTGGTCAACTTTTCTTCTCCGATTTTTTTGCTGTGGACGGTAGGCTTCACGCTCGTCTCCTTATTGCTCAGATTCAGCATCTTACGTATGAATGCTTTGCTTTGCTTCACAAGCAATGTGACGGATAAACTACAGTCTTGATGCTCTTGAGCGGGAAAGAGGGCTGTGAACCATGATGCAGACTTGGCATGAGGTCCAGATATTGTCGAGAACACGCGAGTCAAGCGTTATCTTCAATTCGTCGGCAATTTTTGTCCAGAGCATCCATACGACAGATCTGGTGGCCACCTTAGTGAATTTCGAAATCCTGCGCTCCAGCGTCCAGAGTTCCATCCTTATGCAATCTCTGAAGCTCCGTACCCTTGCACGAGAGATCAGCAACCAAGTCGCAATCGAAAATGCCATATACCTCAACTCACATCCATAAGATCATGAACGTAAACATCGCCCATCAACACCCAATGACCACCTACTTCCCTCAGAATAAAAGGCCAAGAATGTCCGAACAAGAAACAAACTCGATCTCCGGCTTCCGTACCAGCAGGTCCAAATCCCACGCGTCCGTTCGCAGTAATGAAGAATGGCCTATTGATAGCATGTCCTTGTATTGCAAGCGCGAAAGGGAGGACGTTTTGAGGTATGACTTTTGTTTCTTCGAATTTCGTGTATGCTTCTAATAATGGCAGGAATAGGGACAGCAATTCTGGGTGTTGGTCGGCGTGTTCATCATTAGCTGTGCGACCGCAGCACAATGTCAAAGCGATAGCGTGGTCGTCTGCTTGAATTTGAGCGCGTGCAAGAGATACAATTTTCAGAACGCCATGAGCGAAAGCTAGGAATTCCGTCTCAGTCCCATCCTCGGTGTCGCCTTCGAGGGAGTAGGGTAGTCTCAAAGGTTCGGCAGTCGTAGAGATAATGTCCAGGCTGTAGCCCTTGACTTTGAGCACTTTGGTGAATCGAGGCATGTCGTCTATCTCGAGCGAACGACCAAATGTGACGGTGTCGTATGGGTCGACGATTGGAATCACCGTCCCTTCAACGCCATGTGTTGCATCCCCAAATTTTGGTACCCAGGACGGCCAGTTGTCGCTAACATGTTTGGGACTTGAATTGAGGCCAGCCTTCTTGAGCATTGTCAAAGGACCGCCCTTGATGGCCGCGAAGATGGATTCTTTCGTAGCCTCAGTAAAGACGGTAGAGGCATCTGATTCGTAGTTTGGCTCAATCACCGCATGCGCCGGTGCAGCTCCTCTGGCTTGTTTCGAAAGCAGTCCAAGGAGAGCGTACACTCGATCCTTCGGCTCGCTACATTGAAAGCTATTGGTTTGTAGTAATAGCCCATAGAGGCTTGACGCTGGAAGATGTGGCATCTCGGGCACCAGTTTGCAGCCACGACCTATCATGAAGAGTTCTTGTGCATGCCGGGCGGCGTTGGTATACAGTATGAAGATGAACTTTAGCTGATCATCAAGCAGAGCCCGGGCAGGAATCTTGCCGAAACTAATCCATGCTGCAGCGAGGGCAATCTTTGCCCAAGAAATTCGAGAATCACCCCAAAAGCACTGAGCATTCTTGGCCATTACGACTTCTTGTGCGATCCAAAGTCTAGAAAACCAGGCAGAGGAGAAAAACTTCGTCAGAATCTGCCAAGTCTCGGCCGTCCAGTCATCAATGACATGTTTCGATCTGGTTCCAAGCGTCCAGAAATCGCGTTGTACGTTTCTTCTCCGACCATTTGCCGTTATCGGAAAGGTGACATCCCAATAGCGAACGAAGTTATCGGTCGCTTCGGCACAAGCGGCCACGACTGTGTCCAGTAAGGAGGAAACTCTTGTTGCAAGACCTTTGTCGTCACCGAGCCAGATCAGGACCTCTTTTGCAGAAGAGTAGACTTGATCCATCATGCCGACCTGCCATGACTTCTCAGCCAGGCTGGACTGATCGATACAAATAGCATCAATCCACATCAACAAATCTTGATTAGGCCAAACGGCTCTTTTGTGTTGCAGCAGTCGGCGGAGAACTGTCTCAGCGCTACATCGTACCGAGACTAGCTGTCCGTCGATTTCCATCAGTACCACTTCTGGGTTGTTACCCCATGTGTAAGATATGGCAGAAAAAGGTGTACATTCCAGGTTACCGTCCAAATTGATGATTCGAAAAGAAGCGCTTAGGGGGACGGAAGTGAGACTGTCGGAAGCTGCAAAGCATAGAACTCTGGTTTGCCGTTGGTCTGGTGAGATCGGAACAGTTCTGTAAGGATAGGATGCGGCCATGATTACAGAGATAGAAGCCTCATGGAGAGCAATGGCGCCGAAATGGAAGAAATGGTGCTGGCCGCTGGGTGTGGCGAATGTTCTGCCATGGCTAAAAGCGAAGCAGCAATTCCCTTTTCACCGGCAGTGGCAACGCTCTCTGCTCATGTGGTCGTTCTCAAGCCATCGGCCGCAAGGCGCAGTTAGATGCAGAAGGCTTGAGAGCTAAGCTCGAGAGGCGTGTATCCCACGTGATTCGCAAAGAGACGACAAAGTCTCCGGCTTCAGATCAAATTTCTTCATTATGCTACATACTGTGCAATGCCGTGCAAGCTGCGTCGCTCTATCCGATACCGCAGATCGAAGCTTCACATCCGCTGCTTTGCTCGAATCCATGCAGTATGGCCAGAGCTATTATACATTGGTGAACGCCATGCTGTGCTGCGCGCGCGCGATCCTTATGCACAACGTCTACTTGTAGAAGTCGAACTTGTCCGCCTCGCTCGTACCCTTAACTTGACTCGTGTATGCGTCTTCAAGATCTTGCTGAATGATGTTATATCTGTTCTTTCGCACAGCACGTAGACCCGCCTCTTGCATGACTGCCGCGATCACTGCACCTGACAATGGGTCATTTCGCACGATGAGAGAGTCGAGGTCGACCTCGGGCGACAAGCTCATCTTGGAGGCGATGGTGCTGAAGATCAGCCGGCGTTCACGTCTGTCTCGCAGCGAAGGGAATTCAATCTTGCGGTCAAGTCGTCCGGGTCGGAGAAGAGCTGGATCTAACGTATCGGCACGGTTCGTCGCCATGATGACCTTGACATTGGAGGTCTGATCGAAGCCGTCCATTTGGTTGAGCAGCTCAAGCAGGATTCGTTGCACTTCTCTGTCGGCACCGGTCTGTGCGTCGAAACGTTTGGTTGCAATGGCATCGATCTCGTCGATGAAAATGATCGCCGGGCTGTTTTCTCTTGCCATTCTGAAGACATCACGGACCATGCGAGGACCTTCACCGAGGTACTTCTGCACGAACTCAGAACCAACAACACGAATGAAAGACGCTGTTGTGCTGTTCGCCACTGCCTTGACCAACATGGTCTTGCCAGTGCCGGGAGGTCCATATAGCAGCACACCGCGTGGAGGGTCGATGCCGCACTCTGCGTATCCTCCGCATTGTGTTAGTGGCAGCTCCACGGCTTCCCGAATCTCCTGCTTCTGCATGTCCAGTCCACCCACGTCCGCGTACGTCACATCCGGCTTCTCGTCTGCGCCAAGCATGGCGATACTGCTGTCGGCTTCGGGCGGCAAGATATCGACCAAGCTGTTGGAATGTCGGTGCAACGCCACACTGGAGCTGGGCTTGAGCAGTTCGCGGTCGAGAGTGCTGAGGATGCGGACGACATAGTTACTACCGGTCGATGACTGCACGATGCTGGTGTTCTGGTCGATGGCTTCCATGAATTGGCCGATGACGAGCGGCACACTCTGTATCCGCTTGATCTCCTCCTGTGCGCGCACCAGCTCCCGCTTCAGACTCCGCTGCTCATCCTTGATGTACTCTTCCTGCAGCTTGATATACTCGAGTTGTCGCTGAAGCTTCTTGTATGTGGCATATTGGTCATCTGAGTCTGCGAGCCCTTCGATGGTGTCGATGTTTGCGATGGCTGAGCTGGGGATCTGGCGCTGTTGGTGCGGGTGCTGCTGAGTCGCCGGGCTGATCACGTCGGCGGAGGCCATCTAGGCGAGTTACTATCCAGCTTGCTGGGGTGCACGGCGTATTATCAGCACTGCTTTGGTTGTAGTTGATGATAAGGGACGATGGGTGAAGGTGTCGCAGTGACGGCGTTTGGAAACGCCTACGGTCTCCAGATGCGGCTCTGCGGGAGCGGGAGCGGGAGCGTCCGTATCTGAGATCTCCAGGCATTCTTGCATGACAGGCACTCTTCTCATTGCAACTCTTTCCCTACATCCACCCTCGCATTAAGGTATTCTCATACCACTGTCAGAAATGGCAATAGAGGCTCGCTGGTGTCAGAGAGTCGACCGCGGGTTGCAGAGCGTACTTCGACTATGCGACCAGCTCGCCGCGTGATCTCACGATAGAAGGAACATGATGCACGATGCACTCTCCAGCTCAGATCGCTTCAGTCTCAATGTGGACGCGTGAAAGGACGGCAAGGCTTGATATACAGTATGGAGAGAATTCAGCGTCTCGGGACCTAGCCTTTTTGTCTCCCCACCTGGCATACTGCATACAACATCCCTTGGGTCGCAATGCCGCAACGCTTCAACCGTCGTATTATGATATGGAAGGCAAGTCAAGGCGCGGTCCTGGAGACAGGACTTTCTGGAGAACCAGACTCCTGCTTTCTTGTTGTCATTCGATTACCCAGACCTCAGAGAGCCTCGAAATCCTTCAGCCTAGTCCATACTAAGATGCTTTGCCACAACGCGCGGTTATGGATCCAGACTTGGCTAGAGATGCTTACATTCCGCGGCTAGGCTAACGAGATTACATAGACGCGTGAACCACATGGCAGGGACTGCAATGTGTTGTTTTCATTCCAGTAGTGCCAGGCATGGAGAACTTCGCAAATCGCAACGCCTGGTCGCTTGCCTATCACATTGTTGCTACACACGACCACCAACTGCAGTCATCCGTTTCGGCGGCCAACGTACAGCATCATCCGGAGAACATACCTATCCATCAGTCTTGGCCCAAGGATCAATCGCAGTCACCACCAGCGGTGGTATTGGAAGACGAAGGAGTTACGCTCGCTAGAGCGATGCGTTACAACAAACCGGCCTTGGGGCTCGCAATCGCAGCTCTCCCATTTGCCGTGCTTTCAGAGCTTGTCACAGTCACGGAATATCCAAGCTCATGCAGTGCCATCTATACTAGCGGATCTGGCTCTTCTGCAGTAATCTCCACTGTCACAGTCTCGCCGACACCATTTTCGGATGCTGCAATCAACAATGGCGCCGCATTCGCTGTCGAGATTCAGCCAATGGGACAATCTGCAAAGAAGAGACAAGCGGAGAGCAGAACATATCTAAATGCAGGAGGATATACGACCACCGACCCGAGCGAGGCAGTGCAGTACAGCATTAATGATGGTGTTCTTTCAGCTACCACCGGAGGATCTGTCACTGCTGATCAAAATGACACGAGCGTTCCATTCGCCATCTCAACGACTTTAAAGTCTATCCGCACGCGGTTCTTCTCGCAAAACTTGACGCTGAATTGGAATAATACTGCTTTTGAGGGTGGATCTGCAGAGTTTTACATGACGCCGGCTTTCAATGCAAGCCAGCAAGTATTCGCTTACCTCAAAGGGGTACGTGTTGCGAGCTGGATGCCGGTTACCTTCGCCCTTAAACCTGCAGGCGGCCTCGTCATTGAGTCTTCAACATCGATTGGAGCGACGTCTGTATCAGCGTCCGTGTCAATGGGAAGCATGACAGAACCGAGCGCCAGTACTGCTGCAAGTGCTTCAGCCACACCATCTAGCAATGTTTCTCCAGATGGTTTATGCGGGCCGAACACTGGTTTCAACTGTTACGGAGCGCCCGACGGCAATTGTTGCAGTCAGTACGGCTTCTGTGGAGGCAACACTGACCGCGATCAATACTGTGGCCAGGGCTGCCAGTCAGCTTACGGAGAATGTGATTCGCCATCCGCAGCTTCTTCCTCCATGGGCGTGATACCGACTCCGTCGAGCGGCTCATTGGTGTGGTCTTCAAGTACCGCTACTTCCAGCGGCGATGCTGTCGTTTCAAGCAGTATGGTCATGTCGTCTGCAGCTTCAAGCTCTGTCGCTCTCTCAACGGCGGTCTCTTCAACGCTGGTTCTGTCTACCAGCAATGGCGTGACCTGGACAAGCACTCCATCTCCAGCTTCAAGCGCACAACCCTCTGCCAACACTCTCTCAACCATTTCAGATGCCGCCACCCCAATTGGTCCAGACGGTCCCGGGACCCTCACGCCATCGTCAACTCCGTCCTCAGCATTGAGCGAGACAGCGTCTTTCTCCTTCATCGAATCCTTGCCGTTTCCATCAGAATCCTCGTCTATCTGGGCTTCGTCAGCAAGCAGTGCGGGTTCAAGCATCTCTAGCGCCGCATCAAGCATTCAATCCCAGTTTTATAGCGTTTCGTCCAGTGCTGCTTCGAGCGCGTCTAGTGCTGCCACTAGCGCATCGAGCGTCGCTTCGAGCATTTCATCGGCCGCTTCAAGCGCCAGCTCAGCCGCTGCGACAAACACTGAATCAGCTTCCTGCCCAGCATCCGACGGCACTATTCGCACCTACGACGGCGAGCAGTATACCATCGGCTGCGGCTCTGATACCACCGGTGATGACGTTGGTAGCTTCTACTCCACCTCCTCCAGCTATGAAGAGTGCTTCGCAGTTTGTGCGAGCTACAGTGATTGCCAGGGTTTCACTTGGTATGGAGAAAACGGAGCACAGTTCGGCATTGGCTCTGGAGAATGTTACTTCAAGGGCATGGATGTTGATGGTGAACCAGTTCAATTTGAAGGATCTGGTGCCGATCCATCTCTCGTTGCTGCAATCAAGGTCATCCAGGAGGAGCCAGCCACAACCAGTGCTATGATCAGCCCAACTCCGGCTTCTAGCAGCAGTGTTGCCATATCCTCTCCTGCCGAAGCTTCCTCGACTATGATGGCATCATCCTCAAGCTCAACAACCTCGCCTTTTATCTTCTCCGAGTCCTCTGTGCCGGCGTCGACGAGTTCTTCAGCACCATACACGAGTCCACCACCAGTCAGCCTTCCATCACCAATTTCCGTTTCCACGCCATCATCCTCTTCTACTGCTGCTATCACCAGCAGTATCAGCTCCACCTCCCAACCCACCTCAACACCCGCCTCCTCATCCACCTCCACATCCCCAAGCTCCAGCTCATCAAACTACCTCGTCCTCCCCTCCCCAACAGCCTGCAACTTCGGCGACCCCGCCGACTGGCCCGAAGACGACTCCTACTGCCTCATCCCCCTCCCCACCCCCATGGTAATCTACGGAAACTCCGACACCCAAACCTTCGCGGGCACAAACGGCTACATATCCCTCGGGCAAGGCTCGCAAGCCTACGAAGCCGAACGTCTCCCTTCAATCCACGTCCCACCCGCCACCATCGCCCCTTTCTTCGACGACCTCGCCATCTTCGGCGGCCAGACTCCAATGCAAGGGATTTTCTACCAATTATTCGACGATGGGGTGACGTACGAGTACTATTTATTCCGATCGGGCGTCGCGGGCGAATTGTATCATTTTACCGTTGAGTATAAGTATGCGAAACCTGGGGTTTTTGTTTACTCGTATTTGAGCGTGGGGAATGGGAATAATGGGCAGTTTGCGAGTGTGGGTATGCAAGGGAGTAAGTTCAATCATATACCTGACATTGACGGGAGATTTTGGCTAACGTTCTTTTTTTTTTTGCAGATGAAGGCAGTTCCAGCGGTCCTCTCATCGGTTTCCAGTATTCGTACGAGACTACGAATATTACGCCCGGTCTTGTCGTTACTTGTGATACGACGGAGAATCTTTGTGCGGCGAATTCTGGGCCGTATACGCCATAGTGGCCACTGGAAGGAAGGCGAAGAAGGTGTATCTTATCGTTTTGAATGGCGTATCAGACAGAGCATTGCGGCTGGAGTGAGTGATTCTGTTGGCTTGCTTGTTACGTTTAGCTATAGCTATACTTTGAATGGTATGCATGAGTGTTCTGAAGTAACGAGTCATTGTGAAGCATACAATCTGGCACTATGGTAGTTCAGACCTATGGTCCAGATGTGCAACGATTCCATTTGTCTCTTGACCAAAGGAGGGTAAGGGTAAGTTGTTGAAGTTGTGTTGGCATACGTTGCCTCGTGCGTTGTCGCATAGCAATCTTGTCGCATCCCGTCCGAATTTCTGAATCGAGAATCTATTGGCGCTCTGAAAGATCCAAATTGGTAGCGAATCGGCAGCGGGTGAGTTAGGACTTGTTCGCACGATATAGCTGTATATTGTAGCTACGAGGAACATGGCCCAATCTCGGTCTTTCAGTTCGAATGCCTGTCGCAACACTAAACTTAAGCTTGCTAAGACTTCAGTGGCTCCACTTCTACTCCGCAAACCTCAGAAGACTGTTCTCTGCCCGCCAACGGTTATTCCAGTACTGAATGATCTCATGTTTGGCAGTAGGAATGTCGTGGTTTCCGGGATTCGACGGCTCCTGCACCGTGGGCTTCTGACTCTCCAGAATGGCTTGAACGAGATCGGAAGTGCCGTTGCCCTTATCAAAGCGGACGAGGGTTTCAGCAATACGACGCAGAGACCGCAAGTCCTCGCTCTGGTAGACCTTTTTGGGTGGCAGGAAGTGCGGACGGCGAATGAAGGCAAAGCGATAAGTATGATAAGCTTGAGGTGTGATGATGTGCGCAATGGGATCCTCGACGTATCTGGTCCAGGTTCTTTCCGGTCCATTCCAGCACTGCGGGTTCTCGACTTCCCAGCCGGTCATGACTGTTTCGCCTTGATCGCCCCTTTCCATTGTATGTATGGTCCGTTTCAGACGTGGGACGAGGAGACGGAAGTAAGCCGAATGGAAGGCGGGTTCTTCGAAGCAGAACTCTATCTTGGACACGATTGTTCCCGCTAGGCTGTTCAGCGTGGAACTGATGGCATTGCAAATTCCATATGGCGGAGTAGCGCCTTGAATCTTGGGCAGATATATGACAATGCAATGTGATGGCCAAGGCGGAAGTTGATTAAACAGCTCGGGCGGCAAGCCGTGGTTATCGATAGCTTCCACGACGTGAGTGACTTGCCGCATTCTGTTCATCATAAGCAGCGTCATCCATGAGAATAGGTGATCTCGATTCCAAGAAAATCGTGACTGACGATCAACGCGGGAGATTCGTGTGATAGGGTTGGCGTTTGATATGGGCAGGGGGCTTGCCTCCAGCCACAGTCGCCGGCATACGAGGAGGAAATCGGTATGAATCTTTCTCCGGCCGCATAATTCGGGATGCTCTCTAAATTCCTGCTGCCATTTGGAGACATCCTGCTCGAAGACCGGTTCTGACACATATTCCCAAATGAGCGTCCTTAACTCGGGAGGCAGGCGGAAGAGTGGTGATTGGTGCTGCGGCGATGATTTCACTAGATTACCTTCGCTCAGGTCTGCCGCAATAGTAATGTATTTTCCAGCGTTCGACTCAATGAGCGCTGTCGATGCGGATGCTATGGAAGTCGCCTCAATGGCCGAGTTTGAGTCACCGCACGTCTTCCCTCCAGGTGCAGTACGAGCCATTCATGGGCGTCTCTGTTGCGAAGAGTCGGTTGGTTGGTGATCAATGGCAGGCAATCTTTCGCCATGGGAGATGGGTGAAGGTATCTTTGCAGTTGCATCCATCGGCAGTTATAGAGTCCATTTTAGCCGTCATTGCCTTCGAAATGGCTGATTCCAGTTCAAGGATGACGCGAAGAGAGAAAGGGATGGATCGCCTGGCAATAGCAATCATCTACCTACCTCCTTCTCAGGCTCTTCTTGTAGACTTCATCCCACCTTCTACCTTCTACCTTCCACCTTCCACCTTCCACCTTCCACCTTCCACCTTCCACCTTCCACCTTCCACCTTCCACCTTCCATCTTCCACCTTCCACCTTCCTTTACCTAACCCACGTGCAATTAGCGTCGATCGGTTCTCGGCTCTTCTATATATAGTCTAGTGTACAGAAGAAGTCTTCGTAGAAGAGCCTAAGGACAAATGTCGCAAAGCTGTAGTATTAACCTTATGTACCTATAAAACAGGTAGAATAGCACAATAACTATACATTTTGAGTAAAAGTTATATTAGAATTAATTATAGGTATTAAGTAGACGAAAATTAATGTCTATATAATAATCTGTATATTTCTAAATATATAGGAATAAAAATTACAAAACACTACTTTAAGATAAACGCTATACGAATAGCGTCCGGATTGCCTCTATAACGATACTACTACTATCGTTCGCTATAGGCGGAAATATACGCGGACCCTTAGAATTACCCGCTCTCTAACCTCTAAGTATTTGCTATACGTAATAGTGTCGCGTTGTTACGTACTAATACCGATCGGGTAAACTAGGCTAAAACGCGGCTATTTAAGGTCTATGCGCTTTACTAAGGTCTATGCGCTTTACTAAGGTCTATACGCTTTACTAAACGCGGCGCTTTACTAAACGCGGCGCTTTACTAAACGCGGCGCTTCGCTACTAGTTCTAACAACTTCTATGCCCGAAGTACGACTTCTATAGTACGACTTCTAGCTCTAATCGCTTATCGCATTTAAGACTCGAGTCCGCATTTCGCATTCCGCCGCCGCTATCGCTATCGCTATATATTATAGACGATACCGAAGAAGCTATCGAGGTTCCTTAGTAGGCCTACCTCGCTACCGGCGATAGCAATCCTGTTCTACGTTAAGATCTAGAGAAGGACTATATTATTACGGATAGCTTCGAAGGTTCTATATACCTCGAGGAGCAGCGCCGCTAGCGCTAGCTTACCCGCTAAGGTAAAGGCTAAACTCTTTAGCGTATAGTTCGCGGATTTCGTATCTACTGTTATTAGTTAATACGTACCGCCGCTCGTTAAGGTCCGCCGCGGGATATAGGTCTATTAATAGACTTAAAGTAGGAGGAAGTTAGTATTAAATATAAGGACTGCGGACAAGCTAAAGAGATAGAATGTAGCTATTCTTATGCTAAGACTAATCTTCCGCCTCTACGTATAGCGCCTCCGGATCCGATCTATTACGCTAGTAGTAGCTTTCTCTAGTTAGCTAGGAACCCTAACCTTACTAAGAACTAACGTAGGCAACGGCGCTAGTAGTAGAAAAACTAGGGCTAGAGTTAGGGCTAGTCGAGTGCGAATCTAGTAGGCCGTCTAGCAAAGATATACGACTAGCGCCGCTAGCAGCAATAGTAATAGTAAGGTACGTAGAACACTTAGCTATAAGCTATACTAATCCTTCTATCTCGTAAGGCTTATACCCGCTAGCGGCTAAACTAGTCTACTAAGAAGCTAGAGCTTCCTTAAGATCTATAATAGAAGACCGCCTTCTTTTAGGCTGCAACTAATTATATGCTCGATAAGCTATTTAATCTAGAGGAAATCTAGATATTAATATAGGATGCCGGTCTTAAGCGAGAGGCTATCCCCTTTTAGCGGGACATTATTAAGAATAGCCTATAGTAGGTACTAAATGCATTCTATCTAGACAAGGGCTATATGCCTTCGGACCTTTAGCGCGAGGTACTATATAACCTAGTTTTCGCGGGCACCGATATAGTAATAATCGAGAAGACCGGTAGCGGTAAGAGCTTAGTCTACTAGGCATATACTATGCTAACTAGTCGCATTAATATCTAGATTATCCCTCTAAACCGCCTTAGTAAAGAGCAGAAGGCTAATATCGACTAAACGATACGTGCGCTTACTTAGAAGTCTATAGTTACTAGAGCCGGCAATGTCGAGTTAGTACGTTGCTATATAATCTCCGCTAAGACTAAGCGTAAGGATCTAAAGATGTACGATAATATCGTTGCTAGCAGGTATTACTATATCTTTTACAGTCTAGAATAGGCGTCTACTCCGGAACTGCGAGAGGTATTTAAGAAGATTAGCGATCGTATTAGCCTCGTTACTATCGATAAGCTATACTTAGTATATAAGTAGAAGGACTTTCGTAAGGAATTTGCCTAGATCTATACCCTTCGTAGCCTGTTCCGCAATAATACCCTATAGCTAGGTGCCTCTACGACAATATCCTAGGAGATACTAGAATTTGTCTTAAAGTATAGAGGCTTCCGTAACGATAGCCGCGAGGCATTTAAGACTAAGGTTATCCGTACGAGTATCGATCGGATCGATACTATATATATCTTTAAGACTATTCCGTAGAAGTATAGTAGCGACTTCGATTTATTATACCTGCTACTAAAGAAGGCAGTCGGACAAGGCGACTAGGGCGTATAGGCTATACCCGCGAATATCGACAAGGCGATCGTCTTTATTAATAGTCGGGGCAAGGTCGATAAGCTAACCTATATGCTGCGTTAGTAGCTTGTCTAGCTAATAGAGGGCTAAGGAGATCTAACTAAGAAGTATACCTAGAACAATACTAGCTATAATATATATAAAGTCGTCGCTTTCTATACTGCTTATGTCGCTAATTACGATAAGGATCTCCGATATAACGAGTTTAAGAAGCCTAGCGCTCGTTTATTAACTCGTATTATAGTTAGTACCCTAGCGATCGCTATAGGCACTAACATTAGCGATATCAAATTCGTTATTATATAGCAACTGCCTATTACTAAGGACATTAACGATGCTATATAGCGAGCTAGTCGTGCTAGTCGTAAGCTTAGCGTAGGACAGCGGTCGTATGCTATCTTCTTCTTCCCTTAGTATATCGACGATAGAGCTAAGCGTATTCCGGATAGTATTAACTATGCCTCTATTATTAATCGAGATAGCAGACCGGCTAATACGGACTAATATAAGCACCTCGTATAAGGTGCTATTATATACTAGCCGATCCGACTAAGCGGTTTGCGTAATACCGAGATTCCTAGCGAAGATGTTAATAGGGACCTAGACTAGGATAAGGATAACGAGGATACTATTGTCGTTCCGAGAGGTATAGGTATAGGCACAGGTATAGGCATAGGCATAGGTATAGCTGCACTAGAAACCTAGGAAACAGGTAATGCTAATGCTAATACCTCTACGCCTAGGCGTAAGAATTAGTCTAAGAATAACATAGAGAAGCGCAATAAGATCCCCGACATCTTCCGCTTGCTATTTAATAGCTAGTATATAGCGACGCCTCGATGCCTACGTACTATTCTTAATACTACCTCCGTTTAGGCCTTTGTACATTTAGGATTACGTTGCGCGGTAGTGAATTGGTCAGATTGCACGTGATAGATTTAAATTAGGGCTAGCTTCCGTCTTTCCGAACAACCAATTACACACTACTCTACCTAATCCTTTGCCTAAAGGCCTAAAGCCAAACCGCTAATTTTTATCGTAGATTCCGCTATCAAAATACGATCTCGCTATACTAACGACAACTAGCAAATCCAATACAAGGAGGTTGTAGCCCTGCTAATTGCGAGTCTAACGATCTAAAAATCTCGTATATGCGACGTATACGCGCTAAGTTATACTAATTCAGCCGAGCCTACTTCTATAGCTGTCCGCCTATCTAAACACACCGATTCTTAATATATCGCTGTATACTAAGTCAATACCTAGAGGTCCTTAATTAGGGCTATCCGACCAACTTCTTCGCTATACGTACCTACGCGCGACTTCTCGCTATCGAGTTCTCGTCTACGTCGGAAACAGCGGTAGTAATACCCCCCTTCATTTTTAACTAAACCAACTCGAGGCCCTTTAGAAAGTACTCGCGATCGACTTTCTTGCTATATACGAGTGCGTGCGGCGTAGTAGTGCTAAGTTCTCGTTACTCTGCCGATAGCATTCACTAGCGGCTTAGAAGCCTCTAGATATACTACCCCTAATATACCCGAAACACCTACGAGCTCGTAGACCTAGTATTCCTAACTAACTTTATAGTAACAAGCAACCCCCTACGACTTCTTGTTATTAAGATCTAGCTAAATAGCGGAGGCGACTTTAGCTAGCTAGCTAGCTAGCTACTCGAGTCGACTACTTCGAGCGCTAATAAACACTAGTACTAGTAGTACAAGCGACACTATAAGCGGCTCCGACTTGACTAATTAAGCTAACACTTCCGAGCTTAATCGTCGTAGCGGAGATAATTAGTATAGCTCTTCTTATCTAATAGAAGCGCTACTAACATCTAAACTAGACCGTCGTAGCGAAGAAGATATCGGCCTACCGCCTCGACTAGATAATAAAGACGAGGAAATGCCTACTCCGGAAGACCTGCCGCTGCTAGGAGAGACTTCCGATATGCTAGGCCCTTTATCCGATCTGCTAGGTCCTATATTCGCTAGTACATTCGCCGGTCTAGCACTCGATAAAGATCGCCGCCGCTAGCGCTAGTACTATAGCGACTACTACAACTCTAAGAACATGCTAGGCGATAAGGACCGCTTAGCTACTCGCCGCTAGCCTGCTCGCCTTTAGCCTGCTCGCCTTTAGCCTGCTAAAGAGCGCGCTGCTCCTCGCCGCCTACGAACCGCTAGTCGCAATATTATATATAATTAGCTAGTTAATAATAGTCTAACTAAGGATGAGGATGCTAATATAGATAAAGAGCCGTAGAGCGAGGGCGAACTAGAGCGTAAGCGCCGTGCTAGTAATGCCTCCGATAATAACGATTAGCCTATTTAGCATCCTAGTAAGCGCGGCCTCGATAAGATAAACGACGAGGAAGAGGGCGAACTCGAGCCTACTAGCAATCGTAGTCCGCGCCGCACACTAAAGCAGAAGTACGCCCTCGCTATAAAGCACCTTACTTAGCTTAAATTACCGATAGAGAAGATATTGTTTATATAGTTTAGCAATAAGGGTACTAAGACCTATCGTAAGCGGGTATAGGCTATACAAGACATGCTGCCTAATAAGCATCTTATTAGTACTATCTAGCTGCGAGCTAAGGTTAAGAACTTGATTAGCAAGAAGTTCTTTGATACGTACAAGCTAGAAGAGAGCCTTACTATACTACGCCGCCTCTCCGAGATGCATAATGTAATCTATAGTATTGTACCGAATTGGTACCGCCTACTCGAGGACTTTATACTACCGAATACCCGCAAGGATACTATATAGCGAGCAATATCATTCGAGGACAAGCGTAACATAATGTAGAAGCGTATCTATACAATTACGTATATAGTAGTGTATTCGATAGCGATAAAGCGAGCCTCCTAGATACTAAAGTCGCTTAGTCTGCTCTTAGTATATGTTAGCAATCTACTAGCTCCGCTTATCGATACCCTATATAGTATAGGTCTGCTTCCTTCGTATAGGACTATTTAGGCGTTGATTAAGAAGAATGCTAACACCTAGCGGCTAAGGATCCTCGAGTAGGCAAAGCTATACATTTAGTGGCTCTACTACGACAACTTTAACCGCTAGGCAAAGCGCAAGGATTAAGACATTGCAGACAATAATAAATAGGTCAACATTACTAATTCGTATATCGCCCTATATAATAATCTTCTAGAGGGCGGCTTAATACAGGACATGCTAGACCGGTCCAAGCTAGTACTAACTAAGAACATTATCTATAACATCGATAATAATAATGCTATCGAGGCAGTCGAGATATACTAGCTCTACGAAGCCTATATATATATATTCGGTAATGCGATTAAGGCGGTGTTTAAAGCAGCTAAGGATAGAGGCTATCTAGTCTAGTAGCTAGAGTATCCGGAAATCGACTGCAGCTTTAAAGGCAAGACCTAGTTGCTAGCTATGCCTCTATTATAGAACGACGAGATCTCTAATAAGGGCACTGCCTTAGTGTACGACGACATCTACTAAAGCAACCTTAGCCTAAAGCCTAATAATCCGATATTCGACAATCGATTGATTATTAACGTTAGTAATTAGCTTACGATCGAGCGCATGCTATCTATAATCTTTAGCGGTATCGAGAACAAGGCGGTATACGATAAGAAGCAGTATGTCCTTCTAGTGCCTGCTTGGTTCCACATCTTTATAAACCTATGCTTTACGCCTTTCCGCACCTACTAGAATAAGAATAAGGCTAGTAAACGCTTAGACTTCTCTCTATTGTCTAATATTAACTTCTAGGGCATAAAGGAGGTTAATCCTAAATCACTAAAGTTCTTCCGTATATAGAGACTACTTAAGCGTTGTTTCAATGCTCGAGTTATCGCTATACTGCTCTAGATTATAGTCAACCGTAGCTATATTACCGAGGACATTGTTAGAACAGGCTAAGGTAATTAAACTCGCCCCGAGGTTGTTAAGCAGGCCATTATCGAGAAGATTACTGCCGCTAAGTATATAGACATCTTAAAGGAAATGCATAAGCTACTCTTGTCGCTAGAGGCATAGGATAGTATGCCTAATCGACTAGCTGCTACTGCCGACGGCGCGGCACTAAATAGACTAGATGCGGCCTTTACTTCGATATATAGACTACTAAAAGAGATCTCCTTATTTATGCGTATTCGCTATACCGTCCGTATACAGGATGTCGGTTATCTCCGTCGGTACGTAGATTATACTATTCCAATGTTCCTCGGTGCTAGACAGAGCAATTATAGCCGCCTAATAACCTACTTCTATTTCCTATTGAATGAAGGTAGTATAGCGGAGCTATAGAAGGCAGTTCTCGCTACTAGAACAGTCAATTAATCTAGAAAGAAGGGCTATACTGTCGGTAGTAATAAGATAATTAAGCTAATCAACTACGCACTCTCGGAGGATTACAAGCGCCTTACTAACTCGACTTATAGACTTGCTGCCGCCTTTAAGCGAGTATTAATAAATAGGGAGCTATCCCGTCTTATCCGGGATATATTTAAGGAGAATTCTAGTATCTATCGAACTAGCTATTACACCGAAAAGGACATTAGCGTAGGCGTGTTCAATCGAGCCGACAAGATCCGTATCGATAGCTTTACGAAGTAGTAGTATAGAAGCTTTACGCTGTTAGACGATATCTAGAACATTAGCGCAGATTAGATGCTAGCGGTCGTTAAGAACTTTAATGCTACTAATTAGAACTTTATACGAGGCCGTACTACTATACTACAATCCGATGCCTTAGACGGTCCTAATACTGCGGAGCGCCTCGAGAGTGTTAATTATAGTCTAATCGAGGAGGTAGTGCTTAATCTAGATCGAGACGATATATAGGTTTAGCTAGCAGATAGCACTGCTTAGCTCTTCGAGAGCGTTAAGAGCTAGGACCTAACTAGAGCTAGAGCTAGAGCTAGAGCTAGAGTTAAGGGAATAGACATAGGCCTTTTAGCACGTATAGGTAGCCTCGGCGATAACGGCGGCAGTGACTTCTAAAGCAATAGAGTATAGCATTCGATAGATATTAATGCGCGTAGCTTAATTAAGGATGTACTTTATAGTTCCTAACTAGTAGTATACGTGAATCTCCGTCTATCCGTATCTCCGTCTATCTATCTATCTATCTATCTATCTATCCTATACATTCTGCTTGCCTAAGGTTTCCGTCGTTATCGTATTAATCACTTTTACTAGCGCTAATTGCTAGAAACGCGCTTAATCGACGTATCTCGTACTAACTAACTAACTAGCTAACTAGCTAACTAGCTAACTAGCTAACTAGCTAACTAGCTAACTAGCTAGCCGGCTAGCTCTAGGAAGGTCGTAGAAAGATAACTCTAGTAAGTTGTTTGCTGAAGTCAACTAGATAGGCGTCCTTCTAGCTAGCTATGCTCGACCTAGGGCCTATTAAGTAGGATTCGGCCCTGCTTAGGACGACGGAGCGGCCTTAGGCACAATTATATACTAGCGTCTAGTAAATGATGTCGCTCTTACCGTAAAGGAGCGGGTTAGTTAGTAAGGTAATGTATAGCCGTTATTGCTGCCTATTGTCGACTACGTAGCTCAACCTTACCTACGTAGATAGACCTTCGCTTTCTAACTTCTACTTCTTCTTCTTCTTTATATTAACTATACTATATACCGGTATCCGTACTGCGCGTATAACTAGCGAGTATCCGCACTATGTGCGTAACTAGCGAGTTCCCCTTTGCGTAACTAGCGATAGTAAACACCTCTATCCCTAGCAATACACTAACTATCTATATACTATAGCGGCAGTGTCAATTATACCTCTTTATCGCGAGTGGAAGTAGCTCTCTACTACGATTAACACTATTCCTTGCTAGTTCTGCGACTTGCTACCGACAGAGCCGCTTAGAAATAGTCGAGGTCTATTAGTAGGTAATTTGTTTAGTCCTTTAGTCTCCGATAGGCTTTGCCGAAAGGTAACTCTCCTAGCGAGTAGGTTTAGGAATTAATCGCAGTCTTAGTATAGCTGTTCTATAGTAGTATTACTGTTAGGTGATTCCGCATTAGATAGTCTTCTTGTCTATTGCTATAATAGGCTTTCTATATTAGGCTCTTCTCGGGATACTATACGTATATCTAGTTAAGCTTAGTATAACGCAGCCTTTGCAAATTCGGCGATTAGGAGCGTACGATGTCGGATATAGCCTCTAGGTAGCGAGCTATTAATGCTATAGTTCCGCGGTACGAACAGGCGTCCTTAAGTAAGACGTCTTTATAAGGGCACTGCTATACGACTATAGTAAGCGTATCGACTCTGCTAGACAACTATAGTACGCACCCCCCCCCCCTTCCCTCCGAGCGTATTAAGACTGTTATACACCTGTAGTGCGCAAGCGCATTAAGACTGCTTTACACTAGTAGTGCGCAAGAAAGAGTTGTTCTAGGGGCATATCTTTTAACAGTCTTTTTAACATTTAGGCGCGGTTCGACTATTGTTCTCTAGGCAGCTTTAGTCGGTACCTAGTTTCTAACTCTTTGAGTTCGCTAGTGTTATACGCTTAATAATGCCTGTTCTATATATACTTCGGTATTGTAGTTAGTAATAGAATACGTTAATAGCTAGCGAGAGAGCAAGCTTATAGGCAATGTATGCTTCTAGTATGCTTCTTGTAGTATGCTCCTAGCAGGCCCTTAAACCGCTAGTTATATTAGATCCCTATAAACGCTATTGTTTATTTTCTCTGCCTTGTATAGCAACTAAGGCCTCTAGTTTTAGGGAGAGGTAGGCAAAGGAGGGCGAGGACGTAAGAGGTCGCTTCGGCGATTCTCGAAGAGATGCTATTTATAGCGCTCGTTATACGTTATCGCCCTACGCTTCTATTCTACCGTATATATTGTAGTGCCTACTAACTAGTATGTAGTACGATAAGTATAGTATTGGCTTCTAGGCTTTGTCGGTCTTCTCGAAATAGGACTTCTCGAAATAAGGCCTTCGGTATACCTAAGGCTGCGGTCGTCGTTATCGTGTTAGACACTTTTGTTAGCGCTATTTGCTAGAAATGCGCTCAATCGACTCGGTCTAGCGTTGTAGCGGCGGTGTTGTTATTTAGAAAGCATCGTAAATTCGAGGAAGGAGATTTAGATAGAGGAAGCCTCGACAGCCCGCTAAGGCTCGGATTTACTATAGTATAACATCCGATTAGCGGGATTAGGCCGGCTTTAAGATCGCGATTTCCTCTTACGCATCTATTAACTTTAGCTATATACCGATATCGACAAAGAATATAACAAAGAGCGTAACGGTACTAAAAACGCGAGAAATATATGCTATACTATATACTGTCTTAAAGGTCTACTATCTAGTCTACTGTCTACCGCGAAGTCCTGCTAAACAACCGCTAAATTAACGCTAAAACACGCGATTTCCGACCTACCGACAGTCTACGTGTCTCTATACTATATCTACTACCTACTCGGCAGATACTACGATAGGATATTGTCGTCGATATTACTGCTACGGCTGCTTGCTACACTCAAGCTTCTCGTACGAGCGCCCTCGCTATATAGACCCTTAGTAGCTATAGGAATGCGAATGTTACGACTACTACGACGACTAATATAAGCCTATGTTAACTGCTTAGTCGCCTCCTCTACCGTAATATCGTCTTCTTCTTTAATAGGTAGAGCGGTAGGGCTAGCGGTAGTAGAGGTAGATCGACTAGGGCCTAGCTAAGCACTACGGCGCGTACGCTTTCGAGTAGATAGTGCATCGGAAGGCCTAGTAGGATCGGAGACCGTAGGGCTATCGGACGGAGGGTTAGAAGGAGCCGCTATAGTAGGTGTCTGCTGCTAAGTTTGCTAAGCTAGGCCGTGCTATATACCGGACTAGCGTACGGTATTCGCGAAGGCAGATCGTCTTAAGGAGTTATTCAGGTTGCGCTAGTCTGCCTCTATCTGCTATAGAGTCCTATAGGTTACTAGACGTAGATCTGCTAAGCTACCTTTAGCTCCCTATTCTTCTGCCGCCTGTCTAGTAGTAGCAGCATCTTCAATAGCCTTCGTAGTAGCCTCCTACTTCGCTTTCTGTTCCGCCTTATAGGCCTCCTAATTAGTATATATATCTTCGGCTATACTAATAACAGTAGCAAGCAGCTCGTCGAGATTAGTATCCTTATGCTGCTACTTATTCAATTCTAGTACGACTTGTAATAGCCTATCTCTGTCGATATTTAAATCCTCCTAGGTCTCGTACGACCGAGCAAGAAGGAAGACCTCTAATACAGACTATATTAGCCTATCCTTTATATATATGCCGGCTAGTATACGGAACAAGCGGTTCTTACGTAGGTATAGGGCATCTACTTTCTTTAAGCACTAGTCCTTAATATACTTAAGCCTAAAGCTCGGTCTTATGCCTTTGCCTAGTAGGTTGACTAGCTTAACGCGCTTAGCTAGTAGTTTAGGTAGATTAGCTATTAGATCGGTATTGTAGAAGTTGCAGCAATCTCTTCTATCTGCTTAGTCTAGTAGGTACGGAAACTAGGTTAAGTGTTCGCTATAGTGCTCATTTATTACTACTCGAAAGTAGCGGCCTAGTATCTTTAGGTGATCGTTTAGCGCACCTAAGAAGACCTTTGGAATGTTCTTCCGGCTCTCTAGCTTAGATTTATTCTATGTATTACTCTCCTTAGATTTGCCCTTACGGCCTCTAGAAGCACTATCTCTAGCATCGGTATTAGCGTTACTATACACATCGTCTTAGTCGCTCGTACTACTAACATCCTTACTAGGAAGCTCTTATCGCAACCTGCTAGGTCCGGTAGTATATACACCTCTACCTCTACTACGAGTACCTCTACCGCGAGCACCTCTACCGCGACCGCTACGACTACGACTACGACCGCTAGACTGCGCCTATACCTATACCTATACCTACGCTAGTAGAAGGATAGAAAGCATGCTAGCGCCTTCTAGCATACGCTTAATATAGTCTCCGCTATAGTATAGGACGAAGAAGAACGCCTAAGGCTAGTAGAAGTGTAGCTTATTAAAGAAGCCCTACGAATTTAGAAGCGCTAGTCGTCGAGCAATGCGTCTAAGTCGCTACTAAAGGTCTCCTAGGTTGCGCGTAATGTTGAACTTCTACTAGTATATATCCGCGATATTAGGCATATCTAATCTAATGCTTGCTACGGTAGTAGCTGCTATATATCGAATGTTAGAGTCTAGCTTATAATACTTATTATATCGATCGTCCTAGTCTAGCTTTAGCACCCTCGCAGTATAGAAGGAGATAGTACGGGTAACATTAACACCTAGACCTACGCCTAGGCTATACTAATACTTCTTAGTTAGATCCGGATTATCCTTAGTCAGATGCAATAACTAGCTACGGGCGATATCGACGAAATTAGCGATGTGTTTATAGCCGTTAATAAACACTAGAGACTTGCGTATGTTCTATAGCGTAGCAGATCCCTTCTTAATATCCTTGTCCTCGCTATTAGGAGTTAGTAGATAGGAGACCGCATTATTAATCACTATATATAGTATATCGTAGTTAGTAAGATACTCTCTCGGGATGAACTTAATAATATACGTAATCTCTAGTCGATCGATACTACTACGGATAATCTTAGTCTCGTATAGATTAGGGCCTTTATCGCGTATACCGGCATACTTTATCGCATACTTAGTGCACTCTTTATCTATAGTAGCCGATGTTAATAGCGTGCTAGTGTCGATACGTAGGCGATTACGCATTTAACCGACCTACGAGTATTCGTTACAGAAACTAGAAGGCTTGCCCTAGTTATAGATTAGGTGCGCCTTATCGATAACAAGCAGACTAATACGCTCGCGGACCTCTAGTTCGTTTAGTAACGAAAGGAATTACGGAGATGCTGCCTATTCTAGACTAAGTAGGAGGTGCTAGACCTTGCCTTTTAGAATGTTCTTAAATATGCCCGGGTCGATCTTCTTAGTGTCGGTAGAGATATATACTAAATAGACGAGGCTACTAGTATTGCTAGCTATGCGCTCGATAGCTGCTACTTATTCGGCACCTAAGCGGTTTAATAGAACAACTTAAATAGTAATTATACTAGTTAGCATTGTAAAGCCCTAGAATAGTAAACTCTTTCCCTCGCCTATACGAGCAATAAATAGGACATTATTCTAGCTATAGATAAGTGCGTATATTACTATCTTCTACGGTAGAGTTAGTATGTATTCTATACTAGGGTGCTTGAAATCGAGGAGTTTGGTTAAGCCTTTCTCGATAATTTCCGCCTAGTACTAGATAGTCTCTTTAAACTAGCCTGCTTGCTATACTAGTTCTTATACACGCGCGAGTGAGGTGTCTAGATCCGTAATCTTCTCGATACGTCGCTAGAAGTGCCGCGGCTAGTCTAATTTCAATTAAGGCAGCTTTATCGGCTTAATACCGAAGTCTAGACGCATACGCGTAATAGCGGAACGACCTAGTAATAGTGCTTAATATAGCTCTTAGCGCTCGAGTCGCTGCTTCTTCTAGCGCGTAGCCTTCTTATTCTCGTGCTGCTTACGGCGCTACTTTTTAGACGCTATGCTAGATGCTAGACGCTAGGTGCTAATACTAGATACTAGATGCTAGATGCTAAATGCTAGGTACTAGCTAGTATTCGAGTCGGCGATGTCGTTAGTTTAGCGCTAATCGAGTGCTAAAGGAATAGAAAAGTTAGCGAGTAGCGGCGGTAGCGAGGTCGAATTTGAACCCTGTTTTAAGGACATACGGACCTTCGGTAGAGCCTGTACAATACTCAAACTTTGTAACTGCGTACTGCGTTTATCGAGATTAGGCTACGGGTTGAAGTTCTAAGTGCTAGAGGCTAAAGAGCTAGTTTGCCCTCTAGACTAAGCAGGCTATATAGGTTGAAATACAGAATAGATAGATACGCGGAGGTTGTAGAGGGCACTAGAAAGGTGGACCTCTAATGCTTTGTTATTACGGTAAGGTGTTATTTGTTTGAAAGTAAATTATATAGGGGTAGGCAAACGAGTTAGGCGAGACTAGTAATTTACGTTTCCTAATTATAATTCTCAAATTTGTAAAGCAATAGTATTATTAGAATACGTAGTTATCTTGTTAGTATAATTATCTAGGAACCGTCTCTATTATATACTATGCTATAAGTGCTAGTTGTTGCGGTATTCGAGCTATAATACCTACGCTAGTAGGTGGTTAGTCGAAGCTGCACCCGCCCTAAACGGTTTAGCCTTAGGCGCTTCGCTAGAATGAGATCTCGAATAGCGCTAAACCTAATGTGGTATAGTATAGAAATAGAAGTTACGAGCAGCATACACACGAATTCAACTACGAAGCGCCTAAATAGAGGTAGTCTTAATAAGCGATACTAGGAAGAGCTCCGATTATAGGA